CTGTGACTCCAGAAATAGTAATCCTATATTACATAGGTTGCCCAAAAAGTAATGCAACGATCGACTTTTAGAGCGAACGCAAAGCTAAAAAAATCGGTGTTCATATTCGTGTAGACGGAGTAAAAACCTATAAAATGAGACCTTGTTGAGCTCTTTTGGTCAAAAATTGACCGAGATATGACGTTTCTCCCGTGGCGGGTTGAGAGACCGCCTCCAGGATTTTAGAGGTACTTTTCGCAGAATGCTGCGAAAAGTCTTAAGAAGTCAACATTAAGTTTGATCTTTTACTAAATACACTTCGAGATAAAGTTGGTACGTAACATAAAGGGAGGGTTTGGCTACATTGTTTGCCAGGGCGGTTGCCACATATACGCGTGAGAGAATAATTGCAACCGAGTCGGCTGGTCTGTCACGTGGTTAATTTTGCTCATCTTTTTTGCGATGTTGAGTGCAAACGAAACGTTAAAAAAAATAACAAAATTTCGTCATTCACTATTGTTTCTGGCGTCGATTGTTGTCAAATAACACGTATAAATAAATGAAAAATGTGTACAAGGACGATTGTTTAGACAGAAGCAATATTTGTCGCTGGAGCGTTCTTTTCCTCTCAGAAAGCACCCCTAAAATCCTGGAGGCGGTCTCTCAACATGCCGCGGGAGAAACGTCATATCTCTGTCAATTTCTAACCGAAAGAGCTCAAGAAGGTCTCATTTCATTGGTCTAAAGACCAACGGAGTGTGAATATGTACACTGATTTTATTTTAGCTTTTTTCGTTCGCTCTAAAAGTCGATCTTTGCATTACTTTTTGGACAACCTGTGTACAAGAATACGCATCTTTTCATATCGAAAAGAAAAAGCCAGTGTTTTCAATTTCATTTAATTTAAGCTACGTTGGCAAGGAGGAAGAGAAACATAAAACCACCTCATTACCTACATTATTTTGGGGTGGTCTGGCTTAGTCTGAAAATAAACGTCACCGTAAGAGCGTCGTGCCAACGTCTGTACTGTCTTAAGTCCACGACAAGCTCTTTGTTTCTTGTTTGGATTAGCTTATTGGATTAGCTCCTATACATAGTAAAAATTGCAATTAATTTTATCCGTTAAAACACGAATCGCACCATCTCAGAGTAACGAATGGTGCTTATTTGTAGATGCATGAAGATTACCTGTCACGGAACTGACTTGTAATCCAAGTCTTAAATAACGGACCACTAGACAAGGAACGAATTTCAGCATTCTGATGCATGTTTCGTAACTAAAATTTAACGTAAAACACGATACGCACAACGAAAATTACCGAAATCAACTCCTTACGAAGATATTTAATGATTCTTGATGTGTGAATTCAAACCACCCGCTCATGAAAACTCAATGATCTGCGTGATTCACATCGCGCGCTAAACGTTATCATGACAGTCTCTTGCAGTATAAAAATCTGGCAGCTCAATCTTGACGCTTTGGCTCAGCTATAGCAAATCGCTTAGTTTGAACAACACATGGAAGGAAATGAATATTGCTCGATTGAGAGGCTTTCTGAAACCGTTGTAGTGCTCGATTTGACTCACGTAGAGCTTTGAGTTTCTCGTGAGCGGGCAGTTCAAAATCCGCGTAACCAATGTGAAATAAAAAGGTAAATATCTTCGTTAGGAGTTGGTTTCAGTAATTTTCGTTGCGCGAATCGCGTTTAACGTGAAATTCTGATTAAGAAGCATGTATCAGAATGCTTGAATTCGTGTCTTGTCTAGTGGTCCATTACCTAACCATTTTGCAGCCCCCATAACAATGTTATATCCAAATTCAAAGGAGACTACAAATTCTGAGAAAATTTAGGCAGTCAGAAAAGCATATAGTACTGCTTACAATACATCATTTGTCAGCACCCATTGTTGTATTTGATAAATGTAAAAAAAAAAAAAACTCCATCAATACTGCCGTGCTAAGGAAAAATGCCGCATGAACCTTCAAGCGTTGCCAAATTTCCATTTATAAAACACGAATTTCCTAGTAAACGTATAAATATTCCTCTTCTAATTTTTCAGATACTGTCGTTTGCAATTTCATCTGAAGTTCCTGAAAATTTCAAGGAAAAATAATCATAAGTTTCCTCAAATGTAAACATTTTACTGAAGGAAATTTGGCAACTCTCGAATGTTCGTACGGCGTTCTTTCTTGACACGGCAAAATAGTGCGGATGTTGCATTGTGGTTTTCACAGAATGCATAACTTAAAAATACTGACGATTCGATGGACTACTCACAGAAATAAGAATAATAATAAAGCCCTTTAAGCCCTATAGGCCCCTTATAATGTCAGTAACGGGGATAGTTCCAAAAAGTTTAGTTCAACATCTTCGAGACCTTGGAATAGATATTTACCTGCTTCATTCAATGCAGAAATCCGTCGTCACAAGCACGTCAAGTATTGTCAGGTCGTTTCTTAATATCGAGTAATTTTTTTATTTCACTTAAAATTTAATTTTTTTTTTAAATTTTTTAATTTTACTTTAAAATAACATTTACTTTTTATTCAAGCAAGATAGCATATGTTACTGACTTTGGCCTGTGGCCAGTCAGTAATACTTGTACCGGAAGTGTTCCCTCTTCCGAGTTACAAAAAAAAAAAAGGGGGGGGGGGGTTTAAAAAGGGTTTCACTCAGTAGGCACGTGTTATTTATTTGACCTCATTCATTTCTAAGTTAAAAACATCCGAATCAGATTAGTATTAACATTTTGCGTATTTTACTTCGGCGAGGATGCTTAAAGAGAAAAATCAAATAAACGGAGTATTTCATATGTGTTTCATATAAATTTTATTTATTTCCATTTTTTGGTTAAGTCATTTCCGTGTAGGTACATACAAATTATTTGACGGCGAGTTGGAATTAGGATCTACTTAATTCATACCACAGGCAGACAAAGATGCATCTCCTACAATGAAGTTGAACTACTTGCTAGTGAAGTTCTCTGCTTCATGGCACAAGATCCAGCTTTGTATGGTGGTGAATTCACCGATTAGTGATTATTTTTCACTAATCTTGATTTTGGACACCGCAGCTGCAGGCGAGATCATTTTAAATTCAAGGCATCCATCCTCTCCGCAACTTTCATTTTCCCTTTACAAATCTAGATGATAAAGCATGAGCCCCATCACAACCAGGGCCTCTGAAGTTCTTAGCATTAAGTTTATCACACTGAATCTCCTCTCTGACAGGTTCATGGTGGAAAATAGCGGAACCATCCTCACATGTGACAACCGTACAATCTGACTTATCAACCGTAAACTTTGTCTTGACATTCATCTCGTTTTAATTTTATAAACTTCAGGTTGATCACACGAGTACTATAATCAGGGTGGCATGGAATGTAAGAAAGAAATGAAAGATTGGAAATTTCAGTGGAATATCTCATGAAATTTCATGACGCTGTGAAATATTTTAGATTTTTCAGGGGCCAGAGTATGCAACCCGCACTCAAACGCATAAAAATAGAAGAGATTCACAATTTTTACATTTTGCGAACATGAAAAGGAACCGGTATCTTTCAATATCTTTCATAAATTTCTGAAATTTCATGAAATATTTCACGTAAAATTTCAAGACTCTATTTTTCATGAAATTTTGCCACCTTAACTATGGTCATTATGAGCTCCACGTTCAAGCGCTGGGTCTAGCTGTATTTTATTTTCATGAATATTGGTAGAGGCCTGCCCCAAACTTAAAATTTTAACTTTCCACCCTAAATTTTTCCAAGGTAAAAATTGTAGGCATTTTTATGATTATGAAAAAATAAGAGCAAGTAGGTAGACCCTATTTTTGTCTTTGTCTTTTTATTTTTTTATTAGTATTAGTATATTCTGAAGGTGAATGGGCTGGCTTCAAAACACCTTTCGGCGGGTTACCTTGTGGTGGGTTAGGGTTACTTTGCTGGTGGGTATCCTTGTATTCTGCCGTGCTAAGGAAAAACGCCGCATGAGCCCTCAGGCGTTGCCAAATTTCTTCCAGCAAATCGCTCATTCTCAGGACAATTTTTGAATGTTTTTCTGCCAATTTCTCAGATATTCTGGTTTGTAATTCGCTCTAAAGTGTCTGAAAATTTCAAGGAGAAATATTCATAATTTTCCACAAAAATAAACATTTTATCCCATGAAATTTGGCAACTCTCGAAAGTTCATACGGCATTCTCCTTTAGCACGGCAGTATTGTAGTGGGTTACTTTATGGTAGGTTACCATGTGCTGGTTTGAAAAATTTGGAAGCTGGGCAGATTTTGCATCTGCACCCCTGGGGCTGCATTTTCCAATTTTTGGGAACCACCACATATTTTTGGCTCACTTTCACAGACACTTTAGTTTTTCTGTGCAGATAGTAACTTTTATGGATGTTCCAAGAACTGTAGCTCCTTGTTGAAAAATGAAGGTCAAATAAGGACCTTCAACTCAAGAATGTTTTGAACATTTACTTACTTCATGACACATTGATGATGCAATGACGTCATTACAACCCTCGCAACGTTTAATTGCTCTTCATGACACGTTATCATGCGTTCGAATCTTTTTTTAACGTAACTTCTCTCCATGAACTCTTCCAGCCTTGATCTTTGCTTTGAGAAGAACACTTCCCGCACTTCTATATTTTACTGGTTTGCAATCTCAGCAAAGAAATTCCCATGGAACCTGCACAGAAAACTAGTTTTAGTCAGAAGAACTTAACTTGGGTTCACATGTAACACCGAGGCTTTCGACTTAGGTAACCCAAGTTTGTAGTTTTGGAGACTGATTTGGTTCATGGAATTTTCAATCAAAAATTCGAGCTTTATTGTATCTAACAAAAATTTCAGATATCTGAACCGCCCGCATGTAGGTACGATAGAAGTTCTTTTTCATGATGTATGTCGAAAATGTGTCAAATCACTATTCAAAATAACGCATTCCCCAAATTTTTGTACCTATTTTAAAAGCAGATAAAAATATTTCACACGGTATGTATTTTTTTGTGGTTTCAGGCGATGAGGGATCAAACTTGTGTCATTAGTCTAACTGCTATTCTACATGCTTGCGTCCACGGATCACCTAAATCAGGTAATTAATTTTTGTTATTCGTCCTTTACCGTCAACCAAAAAGAACAGAAACATGAAATCTTGAGTGCTGTTCTGCCGTGCTAAGGAAGAACGCCGTATGAACATTCGAGAGTTGCCAAAATGCTCCGGATAACACATGTATTTTTGCGAAAGATTATACGTATTTTTTCTTGAAATTTTCAGACATTCTAGACAAAATTCCGAACATAATTGTCTGAAAAAATTGAAGAAAAACATTCACAATTTTTCCAGTAAATTAGGTCATTATTGAAGGAAATGTGGCAATGTCTGAAGGTTTATTCGGCGTTCTTCCTTAGCACGACAGTGTTGCTATATATTTGACTTCATAACGCCTAAACAAAAATATTTATTCTGGCTCATTTATAAAAGTACCTATCTGAATAGGGCAGCTTATAATACATACGTCGTTTCTCAATATGGTTCGTCTTCGTTTTTCGTTCGTTTATATGTCGTTCTTGATGATGATTCTTGTTTGTGCAATGCAGTATGGAAAATGAAAGAGACCTAAGAGAATAATTTTATTTAAAAAAAAAAAAAAAAAAAAAAAAAAAAAAAAAAACAACACGCATTTCAAAGAGCGTTATCTCTCTTCTCAATACTCGACGTATGTTGGGCGCTTCTGGGTACCAGATGCGCCCTTCCAGCCGTTTGGGTCTCCGGATGTAACATGTACCTACTATAGTACATAACCTTTTGCCTTGTGGGTAATGACACCATTCTGGTACACGCGGTAAAATTTGAATTTTGTTCTTCTCTGGTTTTTGTAAAAATTTTCGTGAAATGGTTTGCTTTTAACTTAAGATCCGCGCAAGGACCTATCACCCGGTTAAATTATTCTAGGGCCTCGTTATGCTTAAATGCTTGTATCTGAGGCAGTACTTTCCGATCGAATTTGAAAAAAATTACGAACGGTCACGTGATCTCTTCATTTTAGTGGCGTATTACTGTGCTATTTTGTGATTGGTTCATTTTCTTGGCGCAGCATCGTCAAGTTTCAGCCGTTTGCGGCTTTGGGCTGAAGGTTTAAGGTTAAGTCATGGACCAAGAGAATAAATGAGGACCCCCAACTCATAGAGCACATAGAGTCGTAATGTAAGTGGGGTGGGTGAGCTGGCGCCACTTTTAAGCATTTTCCAGGTCCCGAATTCCGAGACTCCTGTGTGACGCCGGGTCTTTTTTTCGATACACAATCGATTGTTTGCGATACACGGGTACCCGGCCATCCGATGTAAACAAAGAAGATAGGGATCACCACGTATTCCGCACCGCCATTTTGGATCGAACTTGTATCGAAAAAGTGACCCGAACTCGGCGCACACCGGGCTCGGAACTCGTCGAGCAGAACATGGCGCCAGCTCTCCCATTTACATTACGACTCTATGTACTCTATGCCCCAACTGCAGTTAGCGGTGACATCAGTGCTACCTGGCAGAGGGTCCAGTGAACTAAACTCGCAGTGCTAAAGAAGCGCCCTCCAACGCTTTGGCGTTGAAACTGCTTGTTTTTAGTTTTGTGTGTTAAGTCTCCGAGCATCAGCCACCCGAACATAATTCTCAGAGTGTCCACAGGTTTTGTTAAGTTTGTAAAGTCAGTAACAGATCCGCACAGGTCTTTATATGCATTGGTTTCCTTTTAAAAAATAAAACTTTATCGGAGATATTGAAACATTGCAATGGGAGATGCTCATTTTAAATAAGCCATCATCTTAGTTTCTAGTGCGGATACCCAGTAGTGTGCTNAAAATATGAGTGTGTACCTGAATTTGGGCAAAAATCAACCTAAAATACTTTGTTTCCGCAATTTTATTTATTAGTTCCCGCCCTACATTTGAATTCAAACTTGTCCCGATTTCGCCGCCAATCCTCTAGCCAATAGTAGAGGTGATTGAAAAGAAGCTCTAGAAGCTTCATTTTTTGCTTTTAGTGCTCCGTCTTTATGTCTTTGGGATCACCACGTATTCCGCACCGCCATTTTGGATCGAACTTGTATCGAAAAAGTGACCCGAACTCGGCGCACACCGGGCTCGGAACTCGTCGAGCAGAACATGGCACCAGCTCTCCCATTTACATTACGACTCTATGTACTCTATGCCCCAACTGCAGTTAGCGGTGACATCAGTGCTACCTGGCAGAGGGTCCAGTGAACTAAACTCGCAGTGCTAAAAAAAGCGCCCTCCAACGCTTTGGCGTTGGAACTGCTTGTTTTTAGTTTTGTGTGTAAAGTCTCCGAGCATCAGCCACCCGAACATAATTCTCAGAGTGTCCACAGGTTTTGTTAAGTTTGTAAAGTCAGTAACAGATCCGCACAAGTCTTTATATGCATTGGTTTCCTTTTAAAAAATAAAACTTTATCGGAGATATTGAAACATTGCAATGGAGATGCTCATTTTAAATAAGCCATCATCTTAGTTTCTAGTGCAGATACCCAGTAGTGTGCTCACATGCATCAAGGGAACCCCCTTCAATGAGGCTGGCTCGGCAACACATTTGATCGTAGCACGTCATAATTGCATACCTGAAAATTCGAAGGCGCATCATGTTACGAGACACTTTAATTCGATTTTTTTTGTTTGCTTGTTTGCAGGAGCAGCCGTGAAACAGATGATAGACTGCAACGGGACAGTGATCCTGACTAAACTGTTGATCTCTCTACAAGCAAGGGAGCCGCATACCTGTGATTCTTTTTTACACCCTCTAATCTCGATTTTAAGCCAGATCTCGCAGAAAGGTAAGCCTTCAGCCTCACACTATGCCATGGTAAGAAAAAACGCCGTGTAAACCTTCAAGCGTTGCCAAATTTCCTTTGATAAAACGCGAATTTCCTTGTGAATTTATGAATATTTCCTTCCAAATTTTCTAGATTTCGCAATTTTACCTAAAGATTCTGAAAATTTAAGGGAAAAATATTCATTACTTTCTTAAAAAATAAACATTTTATCGTAGGAAATTTGGCAACTCTCGAATGTTCATACGGTGTTCTTTCTTAACGCGGCAGCACTGCCGTGATAGCGACGAAAGCCGTAAGAGATTTTTTGTATGAGCCACGGTCAGCACATGATCTTATGTGTCTCGAGACTCACTCCAGAATGCTCTAACTGTTCTGTAACTTAACACGGCAGTACAAAAGTGCCGTGTAATAGACGTGAGCAGTGGCATACACTTTTTCTGAATCGAGTTTCCTTCAGCATTCGACGAAACTAATGAAAGTGAATAAAATAAATACACTAAAACGGCGAAATTTGACTTATTTTTTTAAAAAGCAAGAGTGGCGAGAAAGCAGTAAGTACGCCAAAATGAACGTCATTGCTAATGAAATAGCATTTAGTCCTCACAATGCCATGAGAAAGCAGCTTACTCTCTATTCTTTTGCGAATTTGCTCCTTTTTTATCCATCTCTATTCTTGAAATTTCTTTTGTCATTTTGTGGGAACGCAACCAAGGAATCATGAGAAAAACAACACTCACGACTGCTGTCTTGCTTACTAAAAAACAAGAAGTCGCTTTTTTTTTACAGCTAAAGACATAATTTGGATTTCCGCAATCTCTCGAGCAGGGCTGGATTTACCTACTTGCCGCCCATGGGCCGCCTGTATTTTGCCGCCCTCCTCTCATTCGTATTGAAACATCAATAAAAACCATCAAGTGAACGTGCCAGCGGGGAGGGGTGCATAAGATGCGTTTACTCGTGTTGAACACATTTTTTGGGGATGCCCTGTCAACACTACTAGCAAAAGTTAAGTTTCGTAAACCTATCTCTGTGCGGACAAGGCCTTCCATTCATGAGAAATTAACGAAAAAATTTTGAAAGAACAAACATGAATGTCGTTTAATGGTTTTAACTTCCGCCGTCGCGCCGCGCAGACCGCACCGTGTTTGGCGCAATGCGTGAAGTATTCACGCAGTCTTGTAGGCGCCATGCGTTTCACGCTGATCGCACTGTGTTTGGCGCAATGAGTGAAGTATTCATGCATTCTTGTAGGCGCTATCCGTTTCACGCTGACCGCAATGACCGCACCGTGTTTGATACAATGAGTGAAGTATTCTTACAGTCTTGTAGGCGCTAATATGTGTTACATGCCGACCGCCGCGCCGATGGCTTCTCCTTTTCATCTCATCAAGTCCTCGTCATCATTGCTATCTGCGCCGCGCCGTTCCAGGCCAAATTGCGTGTTTGGTTTCTGTCTTAACTCGACTAATTAAAGGTGCTGTCTTTTCTATCACTGAAAGACGACAAAATTAAAAATTACTGCACTCTCAGGAAATGAGAGATTTTGTCGCCTTTTCTCGTTTGTAATTTTTTTTTTTTTTTCTAAATCCGATATTTTTTTATACCTACATTTAAAAAAAAAAATGCAAAATTTGCCGCCCTCCAGATTTGCCGCCATATGGGCCGCGGCCCATGTGGCCACCCCACTATGGTCTGGGGGCGCCGAATTGTGGCCAAAAATCCGATTTTTGAAAGTACGAAAATCTGGCAATCGAGCATATAATCCTTATCTACATCGTTTAGTAGGTGCGAAATGACCCATCAAATCTTCTGTAATTGTTTTTACGATCAGATACATGGTGGCGAACTTCACATCCTCCGAGGTAAGTAAACAAACGTGAGAATTTAAAGTGCACGTCATCGTGTATTGCCTTGTGTCGTTTTGTGATAAGTTGGCGTAGATCCCCGATCAAATATGGAAAAGAAAGGTGAAAGTAAGTACTTTTTGATGGTTTAATCGTTTTTAGTATTAAGATTGATTTTATGACCACCATGAGACTCCAAAGTTTTGTCCTGATTTAGGCAAAAAATTGCCTTCATCTTAAGTTTTAGTTATCACTAACACGAGCTAACACGTTCTTATCAGTGCAAGAATGTAGCTCATATGTTCCTCTAACAGGATATCATCGGGTTTTTTGCCGCTTTTTGCCTCTGGGGCCTTTTTTGGTCATTTTAGTGAAGGACTTATACGATTTTCTGCGCAATCTGATTTCATTGCAGAAGGAGATAAGAGAGATGAGACAAGGTCAACGTTTGATATAGGGTGATTCATATGTATTTTTGGCTGCTGAATCCGAAAATGATATCAGTTTTTTTCCAGCACTTGCCAGATTTCCGGAAAATAAAGTTTTTTTGCAAAAAACCTCATTTTTAAGCAAAATAATATTTTCTCCGGTAAAACGACAAATGGTGGATAAAACTTAGGTATTTTTTTTAATTCTTCAGCCTGTATACATAATACAAATTTATTAACTCGGCCCGCTGTGGTGCGTAGTGGTTGGAGTGCTGGCTTTAAGATCAAGAGGTTCCTAGTTCAATTCCTGGCTAGGCAACCCGAGAATGGTAATCCGCAAGGTTTTAGGGTCTGATTTGGGTCTGGGTCTGAAGGCCCCAGAGGCAAAAAGATGCAAAAAAACCTATGATATCCTGTTAGAGGAACATATGAGCTACATTCTTGCACTGATAAGAACGTGTTAGCTCGTGTTAGTGATGACTAAAACTTAAGATGAAGGCAATTTTTTGCCTAAATCAGGACAAAACTTTGGAGTCTCATGGTGGTCATAAAATCAATCTTAATACTAAAAACGATTAAACCATCAAAAAGTACTTACTTTCACCTTTCTTTTCCATATTTGATCGGGGATCTACGCCAACTTATCACAAAACGACACAAGGCAATACACGATGACGTATGCACTTTAAATTCTCACGTTTGTTTACTTACCTCGGAGGATGTGAAGTTCGCCACCATGTATCTGATCGTAAAAACAATTACAGAAGATTTGATGGGTCATTTCACATCTACTATAGGATGTAGATAAGGATTATATGCTCGATTGCCAGATTTTCGTACTTTCAAAAATCGGATTTTTGGCCACGATTCATTAGGCCTAGAATCTTTATAATAATTCTAACCATGAAAATCAGCGCAGAATGGTTGACAGCCTCCAATGAGTATAAGAATGTCAAAGCTATTTAGGTCTAAGTAGTATTGAGTATATCTAGACAATTTTGCTAGCAGGGTTTGATGATCAAAGAGTAAATTATTTTTAAAAAATCGCTAGAAATGAAAATTTTTAGGGACAATTTTTGGTTCGGGGAGGGGGCGCCCTAAAGGGCCAATGCCATTTGTCTTGCTAACACGAATATCACCATATTTAATGTGCAATTTTTTTAACTTACGCTCCGGTCAGGATCAATAGACCGAAAAACATAGTACTGATTTGATTCAATTTCAATCATTTCTTCTCTTATTTTTCTGGATTAAATACGTATTTTTGGGGCTTCTGTCCTGATAACCTCTTGATCATTGAAAAATAGATTTCATATTATAGTGAGACAACCTTCAAAACATTAAACTGACATTCAATTTGGTATTCTAATCATATTTTGGCTTTTCTTCTAATTTTTTGGTTTCAAGGGCCTGCCGCCATCTTGGATTTAAGAATTTTGTAAAACTAAGGTCAAATTTGAATTCAGCGACCCAAAAAACATTAGTACACCAAATTTCATGATATTCTGATCATTTCCTGATTTATGGCCACAATTCGGCGCCCCCAGACCATAGTGCACCCCCTTAATCCGGCCCTGATCTCGAGCAATTTTTCTTGGATGATTATGGACAGAAAAATGACGAAATTTCCCCTCTCCTTATTTTTAAACTTATCATTGCTATGAATTTTTGTTACAGATCAAAAATTTGCCTCTAAAGTAAGACTGATCAATGGTGTCAAAACTTTTCACCATTTTCTGCGGACATATACGTATAATCACAATAAGCTTCTGCTTCCAAATCTACTCATTATTCGAACTTTAGTATTAAATAGTAAGTTGATGCATAATTTTTTATCTCTTTCGTCGTTGGTTTTTTTTCCTTCTTTCAAGGTTTGTCACTGAAGATAACTTGAATGGAGTTTGTCAGAATAAGAAATTACAGTTTACCTTTTTTTCAAATAGGTAGGTAGTAGAGAATTTCTTACCTCACCGGGATGCAGAAACTTCCTGATGACCTCTCAAGTGAAAAAATGGGAAGACTGTGAAAATCAGGGAGGTAATCTTGCAAAAGTATTAAAATCGCAGTGAAAGTTGCATGTTTTTTTTTTTAAAAAATCTAGGTGAAATCTGTGCGGTTGTCACAAAATTAGGCCGATTGGTGAATCCAGGTTGAAGAAAATCGGACATAGCTTCATAAATGTTGGGGGAGAAGGGTTTTCAAAACAACGAGGCTAGTTCAAAACAGAGGAAGGTTAAGAATTTCCTTCATTCCTGCCATAATACCTAATACCTACTGAACACAAATAGACAGTTTTTTACTACAAGATAGGTCAGCATAATTTTACTTTATGAATCACAGGTAGTTAATCTGCAATATTTAGAGAGAGTGACATTGGCCGGTGAATACCTCAAAACTTATGCCTGAGTAGCACAGCGCAATGAAAGTATATTGCAATATTTTTACATCATTTGATCACAAATGCCAATTTTAAATGATCAATAAAATGAGTTAGAAAAAAGTAGGCAATTTGCAATGGCTTAATAGCACTTCTACCATGTAATTGTGAGCAATCGCAGTCTGCGCTACTTAGGATTGCACCAAAAATACACGATTTAAAAGAAATCCTCTGCTGTCATATTTTAATTTGAGTACCCATTAATTTCGGCCGAAAATTAATTTACAATGCACCAAACTAACTTGTGTGCTGATGCAATTACCTATTAATTGTGCAGTCTGATCACGCATATTTAAAGAGTGTCCCATTTTACAGGAGGAATGAAAGCAAATATATCATTATTCTACCAAAAGGAACAATATCATATAATGTAGTGAATCAGAATATGAGAGTCCCTAGCTCATTACAAATACTGTGATTACTGGATACTGGATTACTATTAAATACAGGAATAATATTGTGATACTTCTTTGTTGAACAGATGCTACCTCAAATATTCTGGTAAAAGATGGTATTGTGCAGAGTCTAGAAAAAATTCTTCTGACGATTGGCTACTCTCCTAGTCTCAAACTTCGGATAATCATGAATATCTACTGTTGCCTCAGCCGTAGCAGTAAGTGTTTGAATTTGTTTTGCTGAGCAGTTTCATGCTTTTGACTTACAGAATGAGATTGCAGAAAACATGTACGTTCCAGGTATATAGCCGAGGAAACAAAAATTGCGCACTTTCAATTACCTAACAAGGAAAATTAGTAAAAAGTCCTGTATTATAAATGGAGCTTATAAATGCTCCGAAAGTTTTGCGGCACCATGCATTCTCTCCTTTGTAGGTATGCAATAAAGTGCTGGTAACATTAAGTTGAAAAGTTTTAAGTAAAAAATCTCCAAGATATCTGCAAGTAAGGGAAACAAAATGCTCTTAAAAATGAGAGAAAATATGAGTTGCCAATAATTTCCCTCTCTCTATATGAAGTCATCTCTCACAAAAATCTTTATTGCAAGTCTGGCTTTGATTAAGAGATTGAATAAATGAAAGTCTCACACTTTTTTCATTTTTTTTTGTGAGTTTTTAGTCAGGCAGTAGTATATTAATTTTTAAGTTAAGTTGAAGGGCCAAATTTGAAGACAACCCTTTATCTTTCTCTAACTCTTATCTCATGTTGTCGGAGAAAACTTTTCAGAACCAGAATTTTGTTATTATTACGTATTTTTAAGAGTTCTCCATCCATCATCCAAAATTTGTTGCCATGCGGTGATGAAAATATTACAACATAGTTGAGTCTTTGAAATTTGGCCCTGAAAAAAGTAGTCCTACGCAGTAGCATTTAGCTTTCGGTGATGGGTTCTCTTGCATTTTTGAATCCTGCTTTACCGGCTGAATTTCTGCTGATTGGCTACTGTAAGTCCTCCGTCGTGTGATTTTATGTGAAATGTTTTCAGCTTTTCTCACCAGACATTTCTTACATCACATGGGTGCAGTCAAAGACGGGAAACATGTTTTAGCCTTTGCATTGAAAATATCCACTCATAATGAACATAATTCAACAGTTGCTTAGCCACAATGAAACCAAAAAAACAACTCCTAGAAAAACATGGACCCTAGGTATTTTGTTTCAAAAACAACTAGCAATAATGGGTCACTAAACCATGAACGAATTTTGACTTGCGAATATAGTTTTCTGAAGGAAAATGACGCGTAGACCACGATACGCACATTAAAAAACGCGAACAAGTAACTCAATAACCGAGAAATGCGCAGTTCAAATCGCTCAACTTATACGCAAATTTAAAATGCCCCGGTTTCGCGCTGTGCCGAATGATGTCATCCGGCACCAATCAGAAGCGGGCACGGGTTTCCACGACTTCCGTCAAATGTCTATCTACTCTTTGTATATGAAAACAATACTAAAGTCGAATTTATATCTTTTGAATTCAAGACTTGAATCTCATTCATATGTTAGCTGTAATAAACGAGCAACAATTCCACATTGAAACACGTCTTATTTTATCAAGCATCAGAGGAAAATGAGAGAAGATTGCGCTATGACTACCGCAGTGCGTCAACTCCGTCAGTTTCCCGCCATTCAGGTGCGTTTGAAATGTCTTGCAGTTTTCAGATTTTTCAAAAGCGGGTTTCTCCGCGATTTTGGCTCCATAAAAATGCGGAATAATCACCACGTTATCTACTCACATTGTACTTTCAGAATATTCAATAAAATAAACAAGGTTTAGTGACCCATTATGAAAATGCAGGAATGAAAATTTGAAAGGTATGAAATTGTAAGAAATGAAGACATTTTCAACAGTATGGGCTTTTTGTAAAAAAAAAAAAACTATCTACCGCCAACAAGAAACAAAAAGGAAGATGAAAAGAAAAAAACTTTACCAGAACCGAGGGAATCAATAAATTATCATTTAAACTACATTACAGTTCAATGTAAAGTACCAATCAATCAAAAAATGGTATACCCCGACAATAAATATATACACCGTTTAGAAAGGTTGGATATGTTTTGAAAGTAAATCCTAGAACGTTATTAATCAGGGCCATGTTTTGGTATAGATCTTTTCTGTGCAATAATGGTCAAGTTGGGCCATGTGCCGCTGCTTTTGGAGATGTTTAGAAGATGGGACAGGTTCGATGGGAAAATGAGACTGCGCACAACATCATTTACTCTCCTCACACTTCAGCATATTTGCCTTACAAGTAAAATCTGTCCTCGTCATATTTGTGCAGCTTTCGCATGCGGTTTCATATTTGCAATATTAGTTTGATTGATTCGTTTGTTTTTTGTGTAGAATACAGAATCTGTTTTCCCTTCAGCTTTTTTTTGATATCTCTAAGCCAATAACCATAGAGATTTACCTTTTATGCAATGTAATCAAAAACACAGTTCCCTGGTCGCCAACATAAGAAGTCTAAAAACTGAGCGGAAAGCTGGTTCTGTAACTTTGTGTATCATCTGCAAAGTAGTAGTCATGGGTTTTGTTCACACTTTGTATGATTTTTTCCTAACATCTGTGCTACTAATTAATTAAAGCTTTACCTACTTACAAAATCTTGTAATACATTTTGTCCCGAAATGAAGCATTTAAGACGAAAAGCAGTACTTATTTTTGAAGGTTTTGTGGTATTAAAACGAGTTCAGACTCGAACAGAGTTTTTGATGATGGATTATCATCATCAAAAACAGTCCGAATTAGTGATAATTATATCACTAAGAATACGGTTTCATCCAAAATAATTCAATAAATCATCAATAATCAATAATCATCAATAAATTTCAGGGGAAAAATGGCAATATTACACCTGGAATCAAAGCACTGAATGTTTTCTTTCTTTTCTTAATATTTTTTCTTAGTGAAGAATGAGACATACCTCTACTTCATTTATTCTGATTGTGAAATAAGGTTTTAAATGAATGACCTAGAATAAAGTTGGTTATTCCGAGTCCTCAGAGTTTCTGTAGTGCTATAGATTTTCTTTTAAATCTTTCCTAGTGTTATATTTGATCCTATAGCAAGATTTTCTTCTCTTGAATGCACAATTTCTCCATTCATAAATGGGTCATTCCAGGGTGATGGGTGGGACACTAGTACGTACACATTGAGTCATTGAGTAACGTTCGTTATGGTAGTTTTGCATATAAATTTTCGTTGACTCTTCACAACTTGAATGTCATACTACTCAGTATTAATGCTGCTACACGTCATGGATCAGTTTTTTGCATCAACCTTTACATCACTATAATTATTGCTTTTTAAAGACCTAGCGTGTAGCAGCGCTATGTAGTATCAGATCTGGTCCCTAGATCACTCAGAATTACAGTAATATCAATCAATCAATCAATCAATAAAAAATTAGCTATTCTTTTGAATGCAACTAGAATCGCCCATCTCACAGCATTTGTTGTCAAGTTAAAACTCTAGTCCCAGTACTTTTGGGCACTCTTTGCATTTATGTTACTGCATTTTTCTGTTCACAAGTAACGATGTTAAAATGCAAAATGGCTTGTGTGTAATCACAATGGCAATAAATTTCTCCCTTTTTTACTATCATCAATGGACTGCTAGACGAGGCCCAAAATTGAGTGTAACAATGTGGTATGCTCACCCACCAAAATTTCTTGCAGAACATAGTGAAAACATAAAAAATTTCTTAATTCAATCTGTAATAAGTGAGAAACTAGCGTCTCTTGTGTGTCTATACATTTAAACACGCCTGGTCGATAAATCAAAATTTCAGTATTCTTTACGATGCAATATTGTCTTGCTTTACTGAATTATTCTTGGCAGCTTCACAAATACCTACAGCATTTTAAATCAAGAAGGAAAGTTTTGTAAAATTCATCTTTTTCACTTGTGAAATGATAAAGTTCTTTTTCATGCCCAACTTGGCTCTCTTTGATGTCGGTTTTACTCTGATCGGAGAGTTTGAATTTACTGTTTCTAATGTTGACAATAATGACACTGATTTCTTATTCATCAATCGATTTTAAAATCTTTTAATAATATACCTTAACATATTCTGTTCAAACTTTTGATGATGAGACATATCTTGAAGTGTTTTAGTTTCCCTTCTGTTTAGTGGTCCATTGGAGCTGTTTGCATATTTGATAATACAATGCCCTCTTTAGGTGTACTCTAGGAATTTTTCAAAATTGTCTCCTCTGAGTATTCTAATGTCAGATTCTTTCTCAACAGAAACTGGTCGTAATGCAATTCGTGCAAACAATGGTTTTGCTGTCTTGTACAAGTTTTGTGTTCTGTGTCCTGAAGACAAGCTTTATGATTCTCTATTATCTCGTGTTTGTGCTGTGATCAATATGTGCCTGGAGCGACGTGATCTTCCTGTGCCTTCGTTGTATGGTCCATATCGCTTCAATCTGCGGAATGTTAGTTGTAAGTCTTTCCAATTTTTTTTTTTTTTCTATTTAATCCCTGGAGTACATCCAAAAGTTTTTACAATATCAGGAGCCCCACAAAAAGTCGTGAAGAAACTGGTAATCGTTGCTCATCTTTGAGCATAATGTGTCTTCCTTAAAATTGGGAAATTGTTTTTGCAAATTTTAAGGTGTAAATAATGCAAAATATTTATCCCCGACATAATAAATTCAAAATACTTTAACACTTTTAAACACTGTAACTAGTACAAATTCAAGCAACAAATGCTGCAACTTTGCTTACAAAAATGATGCACAAAAGGAATGGTGTCCCAACAAAGTATAGCAACAGTGGCACACTTTAGACGTCAATGTGAGTAAGTTTTCAGTTATTCGAGAGCCTGTAAATAGCACATTGCAGAAATCAAGACCTTCAAAACAAACTAATCATAAGTGCCTGTCCCAGTGGAGTGACATGGTAGTCTCCATGTTAACAGAGTGTTTACTATCAGTAAAAACCGGAAAATATCAGGAAATTTGATGTCATCAGATAAATCGGCCATGATCAAAAGATTTCGAGTGTCTCAAGCATTTTCATTTGCATGCAGTTCAGCACATGCGAAAGTAAAACATTTGACTGAATTCATCAATTATATTTGATAATAAAATCAAACGATTTTGAATTTATTTGTGCACAAATCAGGAATCTTCATTTAAAATATTAGGAAATTTTCAGGAAAATCCAAAATAAATTTTTAGGAAACACTCTGGTTAATACTCTGAACCATTATACTCACTTGATTTTTGTCACGAATAATTCTGGACCAGACAAAATTCAAAGAGGAATATTTTTTAATACTTCTTTCCTTGGTTATTTTTAACTTCCAATAGCTATAAAAATGTTACTTTCAACTGGACCGCGTTAAGCAGAAAGGAACCAAGTCACATCAGCTATTGCCAAATTTAATTGGCTAATTAAATTTTTTACATGAAAACAGTTGTGCGGATTTTCGTGCAAATTTCAGTGAATTTTCTCCATCGTACGAAGCAAATTTCTCAACATTTTCAAACGGATCTGCACAAACGTTTTCTCGTAATAAATTAAATTTCCCAGTTAAAATTGGCAATAGCTGATGTGGCTTGGTTCCTCTCTGATAAACGCGGTCCAACTATTACCTGTTTCATAATAATTATTTTCAACTCTCATCACAGTAAGGGTTATAAGCTCAATCTCTCAACCTAAGAATTGTATCTTTAATGTTGAGAGACACCGATAAAAATAAATAATAAATAATTTTTTCCAGCCTCATTCCAGAAATCAGACTTTGGAAGCATGAGTGAAGAGAGTGACTCCTCTGATGAGGATGATGAGGATGAAGAGTTGGAGGTGGAGAACGAACTTCTTGATGGTGGATCGCTCAAGAAAACTCGTCGTAAATCATCAGGCTTGCATCAGGTTCCCTTGCTCTATAGCTTTCGGGAGTTCGATCAACTTCAAATTTATAAGAAGTTTTTTGAGGAGTTCTATGCTTCTCCCACTGGTGGCAGTATTCCCACCGACAACAGTGCAATTAGTAGACAGGTGAAAATAAAACTTTTCTTACGTTTTAAACTACTCATGAATCACAATTAAAAGGAGGAGTATCAACAAGGGCTGATTATGGGCCCACCCTAAATTTCCTCAACTCTTCGATTTTTTGTTCACTGACGGTCTATATTGCCGCGCTAAGGAAGAACGCCGTACATGAACCTTCAGGCGGTGCCAAATTTCCTATTATAAAACGCGAATTTCCTGGAAAATTTATGGATATTTTCCTCCAAATTTTTCTGTTAATTTAGTTCACAATTTTACCTAAAAATTCTGATAATCTAAGGGAAAAATATTCATAGCTTTCCTCGAAAATAAATATTTTATCAAAGGAAATTTGGCAACTCTCGAATGTTCATACAGCGTTCTTTCTTAACACGGCAGTATAATGCATAATGATTTGGTAATTTTTGAGTCTAATACTGGCCTTACCGTGGGTCTGGAAGCCAATTTCTGTTGAAAACGCAGGTTTTGCAAGTTTGCGGTTGACTCTCGAAAAATTCGCGTTTTTCGCCAAAATTGGCCGTCAGATCCATGTTTAGTTAAAAAGACCTGAAAAGTAACCGGAAATGACCTCATCATGATGCATTTCAATTACAACAGACCCTCTACAAGCAAAAAGTAAATTGTAGAGTTGAGGAAATTCATCTAGGGTGGGGTGGACTCAGACGTCTCTATCAATACCCCTCCTTTTGTTTTTCAGAGCATATCAATGGCCAAAGTTCAAAACCTCGTGTCTCCGTTGCAGTGTTTTGAGATCTCATTTTCTATTTTATTTCTTCAAGGAGAAACAAACCAACTTTATTGCCTAAAATTTACACAAAATAATCCGCTCTCAGAGAAGAAAGATCAAGAAAGTTTCAATAAAGTAAGTACGTTGACTAGTTTTCCGAAGAAAAAATAAATTATGGCCAGATGTCTACAATGACACCACAAATGGTGTGGTTTCCTACTTTAGCCATTGACAGATCGCATACTGAGATGAAACTCAGTGCTGAATTGCAAAAAACAGGGCTAAAAAAGGTAGAAAGAACAAGAAAAATTTTAGCTGATTACACAGCCATTATCAGTCAGACAAAAAATGAAACAAATACAGATTTTGGTTGATTTCTATATTATTGAAATTTTTTATATTTTTCTTTTAATTGATAATGACTGCCAACATGCCATGGCTGACATGGATTGGCCAAAACTTTTTTGGTTTTTTCATCTGTTTTAGTCTTGCTTTCCGCATTGTGGCAATGTTTTTCATCTCATTGCACATTTTAAAAGGCTGCTTATATTTTCCTTTGCTCTCATTAAATACTATCTTTCCTATTGTTTTGATACCCTAATCTATACAATGCCTCAAGTTCAGTGAGTGGTTGTTTGGTAGGTGAGGAAGACTCACTACGAATTTCGTCAAGCTTGTGAACAAGTGATCAATGCTTCAGTCTTTCAGGTTGATGCATTTTTGCAAATGTATATCCTTCTGGATGCTAAGTAATTAAGATGAATGGGCTGCGTTTATTTATTTTTTTAAGATTTGAGAAAATTGGTGCAGATAATCCTACAAATTTGCCTATTTTGTCAAAAGAAACACACAGTAGGTACAATAGCCAGTTATGTTTGTATTTGACTGGCCTTTTCAATAATTTAGAGGCGTTTTAGAGCCTTGGCAGTTCTCTGAGCACCACACATGAATTGATTCATACTTTTGTCAACAACAATGTCCCCATACAAAATTAACGTGTGAGCATCATCGGAAAACAGGTGATACCTCTAGTTGCATCCCATCAACTTTCGGTCTGTGGTTTTCTCATTCTTCGCTCTTTACTAAATCTTTTCTCTTTTTCCTTTTCCAGAATTCGGGCATTTCCATTGGTCCACCAAGTAACAAAATTAAAAGTGCTGTGAACATTCCATTTTGTGTTAGTACATAATTAAATAATAATTAGAATACATTTTGCAATAAATTAGGAACTACAAGTTCTGGCTCATCCGTAGAACCACATGAATGCAGAGGGAAACAAATGTCACGTATGTTGTTTCTTAATCAAGCTAGAGATTGTAGTTCCTAATTGCAAAATGTAGTCCACTTGTTAGTAAGTAATTCAAATAATACAGAAGTAGCTCATTAAGTTTCGAAAATTAAAGTTTCTGATCTTTGCAATCTATTGATTAGTATTTATCATTTATTAGAGTGTCAAGATAAAATAAAAGTCTGAGAGAAAATGTGTGATTGGATGAGCTTTTTCTGTGTATAATGAGACATCAGTTTTTGAATTTGAATCGGCAGAACCGCCAACTTTCTGTATAAATTAATTGTCTTGGCAGTATTTGTGATGTCTATATAAATCTAAGAACTCTATAACAACTTAAAAACTAATCAAGAACTTAAAAGATTGATCAAATATCAGTATATATTTTCAATTAACCAATTCAAATAAGACAGAAGTAGCTTGTCAAGTTTGGGGTATCATAATTTCTAATGTTTATAATCTATTAATTAGTATTTTGCATTTATTAAAATGTCAAGTTAAAATATAATGTTGATTGTCGGAAGAGGTTTTTCTCTCTATAACGAGACATTAATCGTAGACTGAATTTATGCTCATGTTGGCCATACCCGCAACACTCTGTATAAATTGTTTGTGTTTGCATTATTCAAGACGTCTATACATTGCTGAAATTTTATAACAACTTAAAAACCAACCAAAAGCCTAGATGATTGATCAAATATTGGTATATATTTATTATTATGAGCTTGAAGATTACTCCTTAACATCATCAACAATCATCAAGCAAAATGAAGAACTGAAGATATTGTGCTGAAGATGTCTCGCTAATTTTGGACTCATCCCCTGCTTTTGTTACAGGATAAAATTTTTACCTCAATCCAAGGAATCAATTGTAAAAGGAGTTTTTCTAGTGCATACTGTACAATAGCAAATCGTGTTAACAGTGTCAATACATTCGTAAAAGTTGCGTATCCAGACATGATCGGAGGAAAAGGTGCAGGACTGTTGGAACCCTTGCATTCAAAAGATCGCAATGTTTGCAGGTTTGTTCTTCAACATTTTTAAATCGGTTAATGTTATTAGGTTTTAAAGCGTCCTTTCCACACAATCCCTACTGTAGTTTGGTAGGGAACTGGAAACAAGTCATTAAAAATGAAGAGCATGTTCCTTGTCAGGGGAGGAGAGTTGAAGACAAAATCAAAAATATCTTTGAGGCTTACCAAAAATTACAAGTATGAGAAGTCATCCATAAAGTTTGAACTTTCAGGCACTCTCCCCTGTCTTATACCCAAGAAATCAACATTTCCACTATTGCTATCGAATTTTTTTTTTTAAAAAAAAAACATTAAATAAAATACAGCGATTTGCACCAATTTTTAAAAGATTAATTGATTTTAAGCTGTATCTAATTCCCCCCTCTCCCTAGTCATGCCACACCAGACTCTTTAGAGGTGTCGTCAGCTAAGTTAAGGGTTGTTTACTTTCGGTTTGCAAGTGCCAACGAAGAATTAGGGCCTCTGCACAAAGCGGCGTTCACCACTATCCACTTTAAAAACATCCGTCTCATGATCGTATCCTAAAAAAACTACTTATCAGTTATGACTCCTGACTGTTATGTGGTTGTGATTTCTGTGTGGCTAAAAATTAAAGTGTTACAAGGTTTGAAAGTATTAAAAAACTTATCTAAGCTTGTGTTCTTGCTTCTGCAAGAGTCGAATGTTTTCATGTGGATAGTAGTGACGCGGAAACGCCTGCAAACCGAAAGTAAACAATCGTCAACTTAGCTGACGACACCTCTAGCTTCCCACCTCAGTTAGGGAACACTAGGAAATGTTAGAGAAAATGACGAAAGCGAAAGGGAAATTTTTTCATTAATTTCATTTCCAAATCCTGTGGCAAACCTGTTCCCAGTTTGTGGCATAATTTTTGAGCGGTTCTCTAGGACAAGCTCAAGAAAAGAAAGGGCAGCTTCCAAAGGAAGATGCTTGTATCTTTTTTTTGTTTTGTGTGAATCCACATTTTTCCCCTTACATGTGAGAACCGTTTTTTATCAATTTATCATACAATTGCCTCTCCTCTTTTCAGGACAAAACTACAGTCCAGTGTTGAAAGAGGTTTAAATGCCGACCGATACCTGCACAATATTGTCTACGACTTGGACGAATTGGCGGCGGCAGAGGTTCACATCCGCACGCAAGATCCTGCTGAAATGTAAATTAACTTGTTTATTCCTGATTCTGTAAGTTAGTCTTTGGTCGAGTCTTCTATGCATCAGAGCATGACTCCCAGGCCCGTTCATGTATGCGTTTCTATGTTGTACCTCTGTCGATCATTGAATGTTATTCGTCCACCCAAACTCCACAACACAGCCCTTTGCATCAAAACTCAATCGACCGCGCTGCCCACTGAAATCATTATTGACGTTGTACAGAAATGTTATTAAAGAGTGTAGCCGTAGACATCCTATGGTTTTTAACTTGTATGTTATTACTGATAAAAACTCAGTTTTTTGCTGAGGAACGAATTAAACAGTCGTCGAAATGAATTTATCTCCAAAGCAGCAAAATAATTTATCAAGTTTAAATGGCAACAAATCTTTCCAAGCCCAAAATATCAGTCTTCATGCAAGTACCTTCAATATGTTGTCATTACCTAAACATAGGAACCTAACTCCATTTCAAGGTTTTAAAATTAACTCAAATGATTTTATTTTTCACAAGAATATAAATGGGTAATTTCTGCGCAAAATTTCATTGATTTTGGCGTGTTTCCAGAAGAAAGATCTTTAACATTTTCAGTCAAAAATGGAAGAAAGTCTGACAAAAGTAAGAGAGGAAATTTTTCAGTGTGGACATGAAGACATTTTCTTTTTCTCGAGAAACGACGATAAATGCATGATTAGCAAGACAATGGATACCTGTTTTTGCTGAGAAAATTTGAAAGCTCTCTATATTTTTGACAGATATTCTGTTATACCTGTTTTTATCATGGGGGAAAAAATGTTCTAATGTTATTAATGTCATTTTTTGCACCTTTCAATTCTTCTCATCCAGAATATTCCATCCTCCTGTTACCACTCTAATCGTCGTACGTTTTATTAAATGTTGTATTTCCCTTTTGAATATTTTTATCACCCAAGGTCCGATGTGTTTTCTCTACTTTCGTATAATCATTTCCTGTCCTTAGAATCACCGAATTTAAAATAATTTTAATGAGAGAATTCTAATTCATTTTTAAAAAATCTTCAGGAGGGAAGCTCCCAAAAAAGCTCCTGGTTAGAAAATGAGGATAGTATCGTATGTATTTCAGATTGATTGGATGCTACCAGAAATTCTACGAGAGGAGACTGCAGAAAATTGCCAAACTTTGGAATCAAATTGCTCTCATTTTGTTAACTTTATTTTGTTCTTCTAAGTTTTCGAAAAGAACTCAAGGGATTAAACTACACTCAAAGTTTAATGTTCATACATCTCTTCTTTATCGAAAAAATGGGTTGTTTGGTCCAAATGAGTTTTTTTTAAAATTCTATCTGACCAATTTTAGTATTTTTCTCTACCTTAACAGTTTCTTTTTTTCAAAATCGAGAGAAGATCTTGAATTGTATGACTGTATATTCAATTATTTACAGTTCCTTGTTCATTTTTAAAAATTTATAGCAGATGCTAGTAACAGTTTCCGCTGACAAATTGACTGAAGTGCGAGGTTAAATATTAGCTCCATTATATTTTCGTTTTTTCCTTTTTTTATTTCTGTTTTATCATCCTTATCCTCCTAGTATTCATAATTGAGCATTTAATATAAATCTCATTTTGAGTTTTGATCTGTTGATTTTCAGGTTGTGCAACAAGGATATCCAAAAACTCGGTGTCAAAGAACCTGGATCCACCGCACGCCTTCGCTTTGAATCTCGATTTGAAAGTGGCAATCTGAGGAAAGCAATTCAGGTATTTTTCCTCTCATTTTATTTTAATTTATTACGTAGCATTTTGTGAAGCATGTCTCATTAGACTTACTATAAAAAAACTTCATTGCCCATGCCCTAAAATGACTGCGGGAGAAAGACCTTAACCTATTTTCTACTGTCAATATAAGTCAAACTTAGTTCCAATTCTGGGCAATATTTCAGATTTTTGTTCTTCAATTGTCGAATCTTCCTAAATTCTGAGAAAAGCGGGTTGAATGTTACGTGTTTTGAAAACATGTTTTTGACTCCAGAGGCAGTTTTAAAGAGAGGGAAACAAGTACAGTAAAACCTCGCTAAGTCGGTTTCCGGATAAGCCGGTAACCCGCTTTAGTCGGTAGAATCGCCCGGTCCCGTTTATCACCCATATAACACAATGCTAAATAAGTCTCGGTATCTCGGTTTGGTCAGATTCTGAACCCGCTTAACTCGGTGAAATTTTTCCATCTCGACCTGTTTTTCTTCGATCGTCACCCGAGATCAAGCGTAGGTAGTGTTTCCGTGCGCGGTGCGGGTCGGGTCAAGTTACGCCACGAAGGGTGAGCGAATCTCCGAGAGAGCGCAGCGTAGGGATGTCGATACTTATCCGATACTTGCAAAGTATCGATACTTTCGATCGATACTTAACGATACTCGGCATCGATACTCCACGATATCGATACCATGCAGTATCGATGCCAAGACCCCAGTATCGACGGTATCGATACTTAGTCTGATTTGGCCATGAAAAAGGCCTCTTTTTCTTTTTTAAAAAACTCTCTCCCCACTATTTCACCTCCATGATGCACTGTGACAAAGGACGGAGTAATCAAGTTTCTCAAGATGATTATACTTCAATGAAAATGTTAAAAGCTCAGATCGATAACTGTAGTTAAGGGCTCAAAATAGTTGACCAAGGACGCGAACAGGGCTTCTTCGAGAGAGGCGTAAATCTGGCGGAATTTAACGGCCGACAGACATACGCACTCTCAGAATCACGGCATAATTTAGAAATAGTATCGATGGTATCGATACCTCATAAGTATCGATACTTCAGCTCGATGCTCGATACCGGTATCGATGCTTAGAGTCGATACCAGTATCGATACCGAGTATCGATACTTCCCTGAGTATCGACATCCCTAGCGCAGCGCAGTGCGAGAGACGACATCAGCTCCCCCTCTCCTCCTCCCTCCCATCCCCACTCAGCCCGCTCGTATCGGCACGAGCCCCTCTCCTCCTCCCTCCGATCCCCACTCAGCCCGCTCGTATCGGCACGCGCCCCTCTCCCCCTACCATCTTGCATTGCCGTTCCCCGCTCCCCCGAGGAGTTTTTCGAGGATTTTAGCGAGTATTGTTTACGTTGCATTTTCAGTGCAACGACAGGGACGAGTTCTATAGGACGCCGTTCTGTTGTGAGCGGGTGATTGCAGCGCATTCTCGCGTAGGATCCTAGTCAACTCAGAGGATCCTTCCCCCCGAACCTCGACTCATCCATCGCCCGCTCCAAAAGTGAGGTTAAGCCGGAGATTGAAAAATAACACATAAGGCGGCTGAATTCTTGAAAAATAAGTATATTTTTGGCGTTTGTCGACCCCTTTCGACTAGGAAGGGCCCGTCGCATCTGTAAGTATGACGAAAAATTCGATTTTTCGCAGTTATACGCGATCCTACGGATTTTAATGAAGTCCAACAACTGATAACAGCAGTGAGTTGCGAGGATCCTACGCGCGATAGCAGCACTAGTACCTGCTCACGAATTTTTACATTGACTCTTACGGGAGTCCAGGGTCCTATAGAACTGGTCCCTGGCAACGACCCGCCACTCAGCGGGCGGCCGCGGCGCATCACCGCGCGGCACCCCAACAAACGACTAACCCGATGACTTCATGATGCCCTGACACTTACAACACGCAATTTCAAGTGCATCTCATGAAATTTTACTATTTAGTACCATTTTCTTCGATCAAATGGCTCTCCTAAACACTCCTACAAGTCACTCTACACGCACGTTTGCGTTTGTCCAATTTAGGGCGCGAAATTTGAAAAAGCGCGGCAGGAAAAGTGGCAGTCCGCGTAAGTCGGTAACCCGCTTAACTCGGTAAATTTCCTCGGTCCCGATGAAAACCGACTTAGCGAGGTTTTACTGTAAGAAGATTTAGAATCATTTTCCAGATCTCAGTGGCAAGCAGATTATAAAATTCAAAGAATGAATATCAATGGCCCGAGTGCATAACAACGTATTTCCATTGCTGTTTTCAAAATTTTTAGCTCCCACTTTATACTTCAGAAAAGAAACAAGCTTATTTTATGCTAAATTTTTATAAAATATTTTCCTGAAAGAGGAAAAAAATTGAGGAAGTTTACAAAAACTTACGTTCCTTTTAAAACAATAAGATTAAGTATGACAGGAAGTCTGCAATGTCATAAATGGAGTTAAGCAGTTCGTATTTTGGTCATTGCCCTGTGAAGTAACAGCTGAAAACTCCTGCTGGAGTTGTTGAAGTTTTGCTTTTTCGAAAGCTTTTTGAATTTTTTAAAAATTGATTTTTCCTACAGAAATGAATATTGCTTAATACTCAATTTTTTTATTTTAACACGCTTTAAGTGTATTCTGTTACAAACGTAGCTTTTCAATGGAGTGTATTCAGGTACAAAATAACTCATTGCGCAGTGTTTCCAAGCTTCCTCTTTGTACTTTCCATCCTTAACAGACTGAAATTATCTTATTATAGGTTGGAACCAGAGAGTATGATCTAATTTTGACACCAGATATCAATTCTACAAGTCATCATCAGTGGTTTTATTTTGAGGTAATTGATCCTTTTTTTTGTCTCTTTATATTTTTCTCTCATACCTTATGTGATGTCAATGATTAGAAATGCTTCACCAAATAAAAACTGAAAATTTCTTCTGTAGCAAAGATGAATTCTTTAATAAAAATAATTGTAAATGTAGTCATTGTAACCGTAGGTACTGTGTCATTACAGTTGTACTCATGTGCCAAGCGTAACAAGTCACAGGGGAAATTCCGACGCTGTGCTGAGCCTTTGAGACATCATATGAACATAAGTAAATAAATATGTACCTACATTCAAGTTGCACTGATTTTTAAGAAGAAAACCGACTTTTCAAGCCCTTTTTTCCAGCAGCAAATTTTAGCGGTGTGCTGACAAAACCACGCCGCAAAGCGAAAATTAAGTTCATGATACATTTGTTTTGATTAAATCAATTCTACTGTTGTATTTGAATATGTTACAATACTTAAAGAGTATTAAAGGGTCAAAGCTACTGATCCATAAAGGATATTTGTATTCACGAGAAAAACCGCCAACAAATACCAAAACAATTTGGAAATGTGCCGAGTTAAAAACTGTCAACATTAAATGTCGTGCTTGCATACACCCAAAGATGAATAAATTATTCTAAATGCGGGTGCTCATTTTCATCAGCCAAATGCTGCTAAAATTTGAGTTAAAGCAGTTATGAACGATGTGAAGGAGCGAATCGCTGAAACTGGTAGCTCAACCCACGTCGTTGTGTGGAACAAGTGTGCAGAAAAAAATTGAATATTTTGTTGTCGGGAAACCCCTTCCTCCACAACAAAAAAAAGTACCGCAATCTTAAGCAACAGGTATTGCACAGAATTTAAGCTAAATTCTAAACCAAGTTTTGTTAATTTTAATTTTTTCATCATTTTGACAAGGGCTCTATATACCCGCTCTATTCTTTTATCACACTCGGTCGCGCAACCAATTTTCCAATACTTTCGTCATAAAACTCATAAGGATCAGCTCATGGAGCATGGAACAATGGAAGGTAAAATTTCTCACTTTTATTGATGTATTTTACTTTTTCATTTATGGCGGGATTGTGTCCACGGGATTTTGACCGCAGGATTTTGTCGCACGGGATTTTGACCGCAGGATTATGTCGGTAAATCAATTTTACCTGTGCAAAAAATAAAAAAGAATAAAAGGGGGGTATTTTAGCCAGTGTGACAACTTTCTAGGGGAGGAGGAATCCGGAGTTGTGTCAAGGTTGCAGGGGATGTGGGGGGGAGTGAGGATCAAAAATCTGGAAAAATTCTGCAATCTAATTCAAAGATTTTTCCAAATTTTTGCATCTTTTTCCAGCAAGATGGTGTTTTGAGCGCTGCGCGGCAAAAGAGCTTGCAAACAATCCTCATCACCTAAAAAATTTAATTTAAGTTAATTTAGGCTTTGTTTGTTTCCCTAGGTCTCAAACATGGAAGCCAACTCTACATATGTGTTCAACATAGTAAATTGCTTAAAATCAAATTCCCAATTTAACTTCGGTATGAAGCCTCTATTATTCTCCGTCAAAGAAGCCACCCTTGGCAGGCCAGGCTGGAGGAGGATAGGCACAGATATTTGCTATTACCGGAACAGCTACCGTTTCTCCAATAAGCGGAAGAAAACTTATTTCACTGCCACTTTCTCGTTCAAATTTCCTCATGCTTTAGATGTTTGTTACTTTGCATACCATTTTCCATACACTTATTCCCTCTTATTGGTGAGTCCCTCAAATAAATCGTTTTCTTGTTTGCTTCTTGTTGATGTAAAAACTGGGGGAATCTTGTAACTATGTTTTGCAAACTTCGGTTGTATCATAGTTTTTAAGTGAGAAAATAATCAAAATAATCTCTTAAAAATTTCTTTGATTTATCCAAGTACAGGGTGTCTACAAGTTCGGAATTTTCGGAAAGTCCGGAAAGAGTACTGATTTTTTAAGGGCGGTCCGGAAGTACTGAAATAGTGCGGAAATTCCGCAAGACGGTCCAGAATTTTTTACATTTTTGTCGCACTTTGAGAGAGAAATTCAAATATTTGAAATTTTTCGAATTTTGTCAATTGGAGGTACTGAAAAACTACTGAATATTTATGTTGAGATGGTACTGAATTTCTTGGGAATGTACTAAAAAAATACTGTAAAAGTACTGATTTTTGGCCAGCCTGTTTTAGTAGACACTCTGAAGTATTTAAACAGCATTCTGTGAAAATTTCATGTCATAAAGTTGGCTCTCTGTAATAAACAGAAATGCTTCGTTATTAACAAGCAAAAATCTTTTGCCATGTTAAAATAGAAGCAGGAATTTTCGGAACTGCTATTTGTCATCTTTTGGCCTATAAGTGTAGTTTTTGCTTAGGCATTATGTTGCCAAGCTTCTCAAATTCGTCCATTTTTTTTATGAAGAAGCGAATAAACAGAGTCACTTGAAAATGTTGTCCAATATATATTTCCTTTGCAATAAAGATAGTGTAAATGAAGCTTCTGATATTTTGGTCTCATAGTGATGAATTGGAATATCGACGGTGTAGGTCGGCAATCACGTAACTCGTTTGCGGTGTTTCAAAATCTCCGCTTCGATGCTTTTTTTCAAAGGAGAACAAATTGACATCATTTCTGGAAGTTTTTGCAGAATTTTCTCTACACAGAGAAGAAAAATCACGGCAGTTGTAAAGAATTGCCGTTGAGTAGTTTTCCATTTAAAAAATAAAGTATAATAGGAAGTCTGCAATGTCGCAAACTGAGTTATGTGATTTCCGACTTACACCGTTGATGTGTCATTTTGGAGAGTAGCTTCCGTTGTAGGCAACTGAGGTAAATATAATGTTATTGTTGGGTTTCTATTCTAAGTCAGACTTAAAGTTATCATATTTATCACTGGTTTACTTTGAAGTGATACAGTGTTTTTCCTCTTCAAAGCCCCGTGATCAGAAGAAGTTTACTTTTTCTTCGGCCTTAAAAAAGATTTTAAATTTTCAATGGAGTATCCGAACTTGTTGCCTAAAAATTGCCGTCAATCAACAAATTCCTGACCAAACAAGCTCTTTGATTGTGTTGAAGTGCAAATGGAATGACCTTTCAGCTTATTAAACTAGCTTGGCGCTAGCAAAACAAAATAGCTAGCTATTTTCTTTGCTCCCACAATAATTGGCAACAAGACTTTTAAGATACTCTACCTATGAATACTTGCCTGAAAGTAAAAACTTCTTCTCTATTGTGGGTCTCGTTACTTTTTAAACAACACTGTCATAAATTTCATCTAAAAACATATAATTTTTTTTCATTTCAGACTCAAATTTGGAAGTGGACCTGCAATGTTCCAAACCCCTCCGTTTATATCAGAGTAGATAATCTGTGCTCATCTCTAAAAAATAATCAAATTCCACTCATTACTGTGTCTGCATTAGATACACCAGATAATCTGTTAATTGTGAGTATCTAGTGCGTATATTTGCATAAGTTTTTCATCATTCAAGCAACTTCATCATGCACTCGTATTTTTAAATTCTTTAATTTTCTTTAACTTGTCAAAGTTTCACAGCTCTTCCAAGTTCAAGTACGAGGGTCATCCAGAAAGTAAGTTTACCTATTCAATGTCTTCTAAATTAAGATAGATAAAGAAAATCTGTAAAAAAACTTTGAAAAGTCACTACTTTCCGCTTTCTAATGTGCCATAGATTTTTAAATTTGGTTCAACAGAACTCTAGAAAAGTGGATTTTTCTGAACCCACTTCCTCTACGCACAGGGTCAAGATTTCTCGGAGCGCCATCAGCAGATGAGCTGCTGTGTCTATCGCTTATCGCAACGAAGTGGCTTAGAGGGGGTTGAATTTCATGTTAAATATGGGGGAGCACATTTCTAAATCGGCAAATCGCAGGGTCATTTGATGTTAGTGGGTCTGAACTGCAGTACATGAAAAGGTTAAGCTGCAATTATGGTTAACTCGTGGAGTTGTGCCGGCTGAATTTGGTTTCGGTATAAGAATTGTGCTCTATAATTCGTTTTCTAACCAAGAAAGGTGACCAAAGCTGCTCAAAGTCAGGTTAATTTGTAGTAAAGATGTTGTGAATGTTACATTTTTCTCATAACGATGCATCTTTGACGAAATTTTTTCGAAATTGGGCGTGAAGCCCTATAAACAATTCAGCTAGTAAGTAGAGTTACGATGACAATTGGGTTAAGTTTTGTTCGAAGAAAACTGATTTTAAAGAAAACGTAGACAATTCTGCAATTTCCTAGCTGAATAATGTTCTTCCTTCTGCCTTACATGGCTATCAACCATTTTTAAGCCACTTTTTTGCGATAAACGATAATATAGCACTCACAGCAACTCATTTGTCGGTGGTGTTCCATGAAATTTTGGACCCGCGCAGAGAGGAGGTGGGTTCAGAAAAATGCACCTTTCCAGAGTTCTGTTGAACCAAATTTAAAAATCTATAGTGTATTAGAAAGCGGAGAGTAGTGGATTTTCAAAGTTTTTTTTACAGATTTTCTTCATCTATCTTAATTTAGGAGATATTGGATAGGTAAATTTACTTTCTGGACGACCCTCATATTATGTTTTTAATGCTGTTTTTCTTACCGATTAACAAATATGTTATCTTTAGTTTAATGTCAAGTGTCAATTTGTCACCCAACTTAACAAAAACCCCTCTCTTGAATTATTTGCTTTTGTTCACAAAAGTCTTTTTCTTGCGTGAGATGATTCGCAGATACTAAAACTTAAAAACTTAATCTACTTTGTGGTTTGGCAAAATTTAGTTCTCACTTTATTTTTCTGAAGAGACAAACAATTATTATTTTGTAACATTGTTCTTTTTTCCAAGTGACGCCTGTTTTCAAAGTAAACTATCTTCTTAGTAAACTATCAATGCATTACCTAGGTCTCTTACACACATTGCAATTAATCCTCCGTTATTTTTTTTCCAGAACCGCGAAGTGATATTCCTAACGTCTCGTGTTCACCCGGGTGAAAGTAACGCGTCGTGGGTCATCGATGGCCTTCTTGAATTTCTTGTTTCTGACTCGCTGCCGGCTGTGAAACTTCGAGAAAAATACATCCTCAAAATAATTCCAATGCTCAATGTAGATGGAGTCATCAATGGCTGGTGAGTGCTTTTATTTTATTCATCTAAGATCTAAAGTTGGGCTAAATTTTGCAATCTGGAAGGAACTATAAATTCTAGCCTGAATTATAAACAATGTATGTGCCATTAGTTTCCCTATGCACGTAAGTTTTTTTTCAGATTAGCCAAAATTTATAGTTCCAAATTGCAAAATGCAGTCCAATTGTGCTTCTTCTAACCCTAAGCTTTTTCCTCTTATATATTTATTGATTGTGAGTGTGTAAAATATCAATATTCATTAAAAAAACTGTGAATTTGGTTTAGTGTAAGAATCCTCTCATATCTAGCCAAAATTTTTATTCATTTAAGGAATGGCTGTCCTATATTCCAGCAAGTATTAATATTTATGTTAATTTAGTATCCTCAATGCAATTAAAACTATCATGAGACTATTAGCGATTCGACAGCTGAAGAGTTAAATGCTAATTTATGGAAATGGACTATTTTGAATGATTTTTTAAGGAGTAATGATGGCAGACATTTTCAAAAATTTTTAAGGTAAATATTCAGGGATGTTCCTTCCTTAAATGAAGAGGCAGTAACTTCTCTTAAAGTAACTTTTTTGTGAAAAAAATGATAAATTTTTAGGAGATTCAAAAAATTGTTTTATTTAAAAAAAATCCATTTAAAAAAATCTAAAAAAACAATTTTGATATAGCTGTCAATCTAGCTGTGTTTCCTGAAATTTTACAGAGCGTTGAGTTAAGTTCAAGATCGTGAAAAAACCAAATAAAATTCAACAGAACTCCTTTTTCCGCAGTTTTAATTCTAATTGGGGTTTTCCAGAAAAAGTGATAGGCGAAAGAAATAACAATTCATATTCATACAATTTTTTGAACCGTAAAATTCAGGAAAAAATTATAATCAGATATCAGCAAATTTACAAGGTGCAATTTGGGTGCTACAAACTTATCTTATCCTATGACTTATCACCGTATTAAATTGCACTAAGCAAACAGGACTTATCCATGACAAAAGTTTTGAAGAAAGACCTTTTGCAATATTGCAAAGCTGAGAAAAAAGCGTGTGGACGAGTCAATGTTAAAAGTTCAAACCCGTTTTTCTTATATTATCATTTCTATTGCCTGAATCTTTTTGAAAATGACTGATTCAGTTGATAATCTCTGAATTCTGAGACATGTTTGAAAAGAATTCATAAGAAATCAGAAATTATTCGGGGCGTCGTTTCAGAAAAATTTGAATAGGGGAGGGTATTCAGAGGAGGTAAAATGGGTTATGAGGTACGGCATGAGAAAATTTTGTTGCTTCATGCAAAAGTAGTATTAATTAAGCCGAGTTTAGGAAATTTTTCACAATTTTTTTCCCATGAGGGATCATGGAGAAAGCGTGCTTTAAAGTCGAGAAAATCCACCACCTTGTAACATCAGTGGCCAGCCTCTTTAATTTAAACCTGTATGTTTCAATACATTCACGTATTTTATCATAACTCTCTTACTTACCTATTCAACTAAAAAATCCAGGGTATTTTCATTCTCGCGTCACAAGGTAGTTTTAATGTTTTAAGAAAAAATGTCGACACTCCGACCCCTGCCATTGATACCTTTTTGCAGGAAGGTAGGGCTCATCTCAAAACCTCGAACATGCATTAAAATGCCTTAAAATATTTCAAAATTGTCCAAGGAAAGGTCAACTCCAAAATGCAGGTGAAAATGCAGTAATTGAAACGCCGGATGCAGAAAGGACATTTCTTATTTTCTTAAATTTTCTTCATAATTTGGATTGCATTTTGCAAAAAGGAACCACAAGCATTCCAATGCTGCGAAGATTGTACATCTTCCTTTACCTTGCAAATATAAACCGATCATCTAAACATTATTTATCTTTACTCCTAAGAAACTATCAGTTCAAGACGAAAATTATCTTTGTGAATTTAATATTTTGCACGATCTCAGTAGTTTTTGGCGAAGAATATGAGTTGCACAATCCTGGCAACATTGGTATGCTCTTAGTTCCTTTTTGCAAAATGCAATCATTGTTCACAATGCTGGATCTCAAGAAAATTCACCCAATAATTTCCTTTGTAAAATGTAAATTGGACATATTTACGCCGGTAGGAACTCGTGACAGGTGGGAAATGTGGGGTGTGATGTAGAAGAAAGGTACATGAGGAGCAATTTACAAGTAGACGTGATTCCTCTCGTGGAAATAGAAAACTGGAATTCGACATGAAATCAAATGGAACTCAGCGCCTAAATATGCGACACTCATGAGCCGTGGGCATGAGTGTCGTGGACAGGGGTCATGAGTTTAGAGTCAATCTCCTCGTCGTGTTCGAGCTCGGTCGTCGCCTGTGACGTCACTGGCGCTTTATATTTCCCATCCATTCTTATGGCCCTCAACTTACAAGCACACCCCCTCTTTCCCACCCGTCGCTGGTTCCGTTTAGTAGAAATACGTCCAATCAGCAGTGGAGATTTCGAGACACCGCAACCAAAAACGCCCTTTCTTCACCCAACACCTCAATCAGGGTTGCCACAGTCAGGGAAAACCGGGAAATGTCAGGGAAAATGACGAAAATGCCAGGAAAATTTTTTTAAATCGCCTTTATCTGCTTTTAAGAATAGGTTTGAGGTTTCGAACAACAAATGTTGCCTGAAAACTATTTTTAATTATGTCTTCTTAACCATTTGTCATATTTTCAATTGTTAGGGAATTTCACCAAAATGTGTCAGGGAAATCAGGGAACTATCAGGGAATTTCATTTTCCAAATTCTGTGGCAACCCTGCTCAATTTCACAGCATGTCCTCCTCACATGACGCTCCCAGAAATTATCAATTATTAGATCGATAATCAAACCGTTTCAAAAAAAGCTCTCTCGTAAAAAGAGAAATTTTCATTTATAGAGGGAATAGAGGTAACGGTACTATTTGACCCTCCTCTATTTCTCGCATAAGTGTACACACATAGTTCGAGTCCATCTCTTGCTCTATCAGATTTCCTACCAATATCGTCAATAACGGTCCAAGTACGGGAGACAGAAGATCCCCGAGTGCCGACACAAGAAAACTGAGAATCGATACGACTACTTGGAGGAGGATGCCAAGAGGGAGTTGAGAAAAATCCAAGTCCAAGCCGAGTTTCTGTAGCACCATCTGAATATCAATTTGACAGGTACCGTTGCCGCTAGAGGTCGCTGTCATGACTAATTTCATTGCGGTCCCGCTCAATAGGGCCACAAGCTCCCCTTCGGCTTTAAGGAGCCCCAATAGGACTTCCGTTTGATTCCAAATAGCCTTTAAGTCGACGATCTCGACCATCTGTTCGGCGGTTGTCATGGATACGGGAAAATCTGAAAAGAGGAAAAGGGGGTGTTTAGTCCGGGAATCAAACCAAGTAAAATCGTTTGTCTCGGAAATGGCTCAACTTGGGGAACATCTAAATATTAAAGAGAACTGACAATCGCCGGAAATTTACAAGCCACAAGTGTGTTAATGAAGAATCAGAAATAAAGGAACAAGTGTAGAGCACTGATTATTTTGCCATTACTGTGCGTACACAATTTTTCTCCTTTAAACATGGTCGTAACCACAGGCATACTTTGAAGATGAAGAACGCGTACTGAAATTCGAGATCTAGGTTGGGTGTGGATCGGATAGGCAACTAAAATAACTCTGTGACAATGCGTAGAGTATCTATCATGAACGATGAAGGCGCTCCAACCCGTGATCTTGCCTTTCGGTTGTTCCAAAAATACGCAACAAATCACCGCGTAATTTTCTCACCTGGTATTTTCAGGATTAAATAAAAAACACACTGTTTAGTGACCCATTTTGCATGTGATTCTGTGTTTCGATCGTGAACTCTCGTGGGATGCAAAAACTTCATTCCGTTCCATGGGTCTGTTCAACACAAGGGATGTATCTAAATGCAGAGATTTTGAGGAAAACCGTACCAAAAATCGCGATGTGCACGTCGTACAAGTTTGAAATCAATTTCTTAATGTTAAATTCGCGCTTCTTGTATCACGTCCTTTCGATTTCCCGCGTTGGTGTTCTCTATTTCGTGGTGAACCGTAGCTCCAACTAGCAGCAATTTTAAAAATTTTAATCCAAATTTTAAGGAAGTTAAAATTCTCATCAAGACCCGTAGAATAGGTCTCCCATCATGGCGGTTCAATACTAGATCAATCAGTAGCGGTCATCGTGACCAAAAAAATAAATTAAAAAAAATTAAAAAAAATAAGTTGTCTGTAAGCTTTCACAATAATTATTTTAAAATACCAACCGCCGAGTTCTGTCACGCTCTGTCTTGTCACCGTCATGAGTGTAGTATTCTTGAAATTGGAGAGCTGGGTATTATTGAGGGAGCCTTGTGAAGCATTCATAAGGAACGTCTTGAGGAGGGCAATGACTTTGCTGAAGGAAAAATCAGGGATCATGTTACTGTCATCGCTCACAGGTGTTCCCAACCGGTACCATCCACTTTTCACTCTCAGATTGGAAATCTGATTTTGAGATTCGAGTGCGGCAGCTCTTGAATCTCCTAACAGTCCAGCGATGATTAGAATCGCAGCCAGTTTCACCAACATCTGTTCCAAGAAAACGAAACGCTTTCAGAATGGTAAATTTTATCTACGATACGCCCTGTACTCAGTCGGGAGAATATTTCCAGTTAGTGGCATGCACAAGGCCTGATTATCTAAAGCCAACAATTTCGTTAGTATCTTCAGCTACGAAGACCACGCTGATTTGGTCGAGGTTCTCTGATGCAACTACACGAAAAAAATTAAATTACTGATCTAACAATTAAATTGCTAAAAAAAAAAAGAACTGCAATATTTCAACGTAGATTAAATTTGAAAAAATGCTACTTTAACCACTATTGTAAGCTAATTTAACCACGGGGGTGGTTAAAGTAGCATTTTTTTGTTGTAAAATCTACATTGAAACATTGCAGTCACTTTCTTTAGCAATTGAATTGTTAAATCAGCAATTTAATTTTTTCCGTGTATTCGCACGCCACGGATGTGCGTGTTGCATGTTCAAAAATTGAAAGAATTCCCGCTTTTCTGACCGCGTCAGAGATAGAAGATTTTTTTTTAGTAGTTGAAGGATTTACATTACAATACTTACTTTGCCTATATTGGTACTTTGTCACTTGGCTGCTACAACTAACAACTCCCGTGTACCTCCGAATAGGTGGAAAAAGAGGGAGCGCCTTCAATTTTTGAATATACATCAGGCACATCCGTGGGACACGAATTGCTGCATCAGAGCGCCTCAACCAACTCAGTATTCTGCCGTGCCAAGGAAAAACGCCGTATGAACCTTCAGATGTTGCCGTGTTTCGTCCAATGAGAAACGAAATTATTTGGAAAATTGTGCATATTTTCCATTGGATTTTTTAGACATATTTCTTTACGATTTAATCTAAAACATCTGAACATTTATTTTCAAGGAGAAATATGCATAAATTTCCGCAAAAATAAACATTTTATCGAAGGAAATTTGGCAACTCTCGAATGTTCATACGGCGTTCTTCCTTAGCACGGCAGTATTGTCTTCATATATGGAGATATTAACCTACTAGGTGGCCTTAGACACCATGTGTATGCCACTAAATGGCCCCAATACTCTTCATTTTGACGGTGAAACTACCAGCCCACGTATCGTATTTACGGTGTTTGAAAATCTCCTCTGTCATTTTATTTTTTTTTGGAGGTGAGCAAATCAGTATCATTCCTTGAAATTTTTACAGAGTTTTCTTCAAACAGCGAAAAAAAAATCACCGAAGTTTTCAATAATTAACGCCGAGTAGTTTTGTATTAAAAAAATAAAATATGATTTAAAGTCTGCGACGTCGCAAAATGAGATACGTTATAAGTTACTCACAAGTGGCAATCCCCACCCTATGCATCTCTGAAAAAGTCAGAAAATCGGTAGCGCTTTCAAATTTTTAAAATGCAACATGCACAGCCTTGGAACGAATAGTTGCATCACAAAGGCGGCACAATCAACCCGGTGTAGTCTTGTTAAAGCGACAACGTCTTCAATTTTCGAATGTGCAACGCGCACTTTCTAAATACTAAAAATGAAATATAAAAATACTAAAAGACTCTCAAATCTCAATCAAAAACTACCAAGAGAATTGAAAAAAATATTAACTCGTGCTGTTTAAAGAACCTGTACTTAAATTTGTGTTTATTGTGTTAGTTTTTATTCTGATTTTTTTTTTTTTTTTTTTTTTTTTTTTTTTTTTTTTTTTAACTGAAATAGAAATCGGTCAGCGAGAGAAATTCGTCGACTAGCGTATAGACTGTACATAAGTGTAATGGCTAGGGCCTGTTGGAGTAAAAGTTTCTTTGTTATCGATCTCGGGCCGTGCAAAATCATCGAAGAGGGCGCGAAATGGACAATAGGGGTACTAGAGCGCACTGCGACTCCCAATCGCCATTGGGATCGATCAGTAGGACAATAGTAGTAGTGATAGTAGGATTTACTTCAACAAAACCATTTTTTCCCAACCAATTGCGTGTTTGACATAATTTCAAGCGCACAAGATCACAATTGACTTTTTTATTAGAAATTTACACTGATAATAATCTTTTGGGTTGAAATAAACTTTCACCTTACCTTGTTCTGCGATAGGATAATGGCTTCCCGACGATAATAATCTGAATACGATGGCTACGCGATCGAGCACTGAGCGCACTTAAAATGAAATGTACCTAGTTCATTGTCGGTTTCCTATTTATTATAAGAATTAGTCGCATTTTCGTGTCACCACTCAACGGATGTGTGAACGTCATTTCCCGCGGAATTCCTTAGATTTGGATTGCGCTTTATCTGAACCGGAAAAGTTTTTCGTTCGATCGAATTCCTGCAAATTGTAATTGAAGCATCCGATCGGATAGCATTAAGGAAAACAAAGGCTTTTAAGCTGTTCAACTCGAAGAATGTTTTGACGTCATGTCTAGAACTCTCAAGTTTTTTTTTTTTTTTTTTTTTTTTTTTTTTTATGTAGTTTTTGAAAATTTGCAAGTCCATTTCTCACCAGAAGAAAAAATTTCAACTTTTTTTTCCCCCTTGCAGGATGACAACTAGGGGAGCGAGAAAGTAAAAAAATAGCGCACTGAAAAAAATTCTCGGCGTTTTTACCACGGTTCGTTGGTACCTTTACCATCTCACTATTTTTTACCAATTATTGGTAATTTTACAAGACAGACTGGTAAGCTTACCTAAAAACCGGTATTTTTACTGTTTTTTTCAGGTAAGAATACCACTTTTACTGGTAATCAGTTCCCGGTAACTTCACCATTTTATCTCGGTAATTCTACCACAGTCAATAAAAAATATTGGCAAAAAAATTTTACCAAGGTCCAGTAAAATTACCGAAAAAGTTCAATAATTTTACCGAGATGCCATAAATGGTAATTTTACCAAGAAAAAATTGGGATCAAATAGAACCCTGAATTCTTGGTAATTTTGGCTGCGAAAGGATTGCGCGAATGCTTACTTTTTTAACCTTTTGGAGATGCAAAGGATTGTGCGAATTATTCTGATACTGAAAACTCACATGTTTGCGCGAATATTCGATATTCAATGAGGAAACGTTAATCTGGCAACCTTGGTAGTATGTGATAGATAACTACATCGTGGAAGATTTCATTCTCTCCTCACTTACGGGCATGTCTCTTCTCGATGGATAGCCCTCGCAGCACCAATGACCCAGAGAGCTTTTAAAGGTATTTAAAAAGTGAACTGAGGGCCTTTGGCTGCTACGCGGCTGCCAATTATTATCGGAAGAAACTGCATCGTAGAACAACCGTGTTCATGTTTTTTAAGAAACGAATGGATTCAAACCCCGACGGGAGCCCTCGAAAGAAAGGGTATATTTATCTCTGATTGCAACGCCATGCACCTTTTTGCATGTTTTATTTTTAATGCATGTTTTCAAAAAGTTAAAGAGAGTTTTTCTGAAAAGATTCCGTGAATTTACCTAAATGATCTCAAATAAAAGTGTCGACAATTTCTACCCGATAAAGTTAACTCTATATCCTTTTAATGCCACTTAAAAAAAAAAAAAATTAAAAAAAAAAAATAAATAAATAAATATTATCCGAGTTTCTGAATCGTTACGATGTGAATACACATATTTTCCCTTGGATTATGGTAAAAACTGGAGCAGAAAGTCAATAATGATGGCATGCAGTCGTACAGCATTCCTACAGTATTGTAAGCGCTAATATGCGGCGTTTCACGCAAACTGACCGACGGCACTGCGTTTGGCGCAATGCGAGAAGTATTCATGCCGTCGTGAAGGCGCTAATCGGGGCGTCACGCCGATCGCACTGTTTGGCGCAATGCGTGAAGTATTCCTAATGTCTTGCAGGCGCTAAAATACGTTTAACGCCGGCCGCATTGTGCTTGGCGCCTTTATCGCGGTATAGAATAATAATAGCCTATGTTGTGTTTCGCCGCCGTATGAGCAATCCAACGTTGTCCCATTTCTCACGATTAAATATTTTTCTGAGAAAAGTTAGGAAAGTTCTTTGTACCCACGACTGCATTATTTAATCTTTTCACTTCATTTATCATCAGAAGGTATTCATCATCGATGATTTGTCAACAAACTAACTTAAACTAGCGTCAACATAAATATGCGTTCATTTTCCAATCGTTTCCTGCTTTGCCAAACTTCTACCTTAAATTTGCTTTATTTTAAATTTGTGCATTCCTGTAGCAGATGTTAAGTTTTTTATTCGCGCAATCCTTGTGCCTTTTTCGCGCAATCCTCATATACTTTCCTAGACCTTTCGCGCAATTCTGGATCACCGGTAATTTTACCCTTTTCTTAGTAAATACATCGAGATTTTTTTTTCAGTGCGGATATTTCCCATACGTACTTCCACTTGATTTTTGACAACGTGATACACGCAATGTCTAATTTTATTCAAACTACACGGGAAAAAAAAAAAAAACTTCTGTTACTAAAAATTAAACTTTAGCCGTCACAGAACATCGAGGTTTGCAGTTCAGCGAAGTGATGATGGAAATCGATAGACAAAGCCGTTGGCAAAAACGATAAAGGGAAATCGAGCGATCCTATTGGTTGAAATGGGTAGTTCTCACGAGCTAATGGGGAAAGTGATGGATTAGCTAAAGGTTTCTTGTGGGGGCTGCCGTTACTTATTGTTATCTCTTACTTACCCCCTTAGTCCATTGCAACCACCCGCTTCTACCAATAGGATCGCTCCAATTTTCCTTTGCCTATTGCTTCGTCTTTCAATTTCAACAATCAGCCTGTAGATGACTGAAATTTACCCTCATGAAAACCAAACCTCAGTGCAGGTAAATCAAAGTTTTTGTTAGCCACACCAAGATTCGTATCCTCTACTAAAGACATCGGTTACCATTAGTAGAAAATAGAGTAATTTTTTCTTGTCGACGTTTTTAAGAGTCTGGACTCTAGATCCAATGTGGGTTTTTTTTTCCAGTGTGCCGATATGCGGTTCTGTCCTCTGTTGACCCTCAGCATAGAGTACATAGAGTTGCAATGTAAGTAGGAGAGCTGGCGCCATGTTCTGCTCGACGAGTTCTGAGCCCGGTGTAAGGGGTCACTTTTTCGATACATGTTCGATCCAAAATGGCGGTAAGGAATATGGTCGGATCCCCGTGTATCTCAAACAATCGATTATGTCTCGAAAAAGAGACCCGACGCCGCACAGGAATCTCGGAATTCGGGTCCCGGAAATTGCTTAAAAGTGGCGCCAGCTCTCCCTCTTACATTACGACTGTATGTACTCTATGACCCTCAGTGCCGTACGCCCAGAGGCGGATCCAGCAATTTGGCAACATTGTTTTTCTCCATTTAAACCAATGAAAATGTATCGATTCTTGACGGGGCCAGTTGCTCCGACAAGAATTGATTAGAACATGGGTTTAAATGGAGGGAATCCGGTGTTGCCAAATTGCTGGATCCGCCGCTTAAAGGGTTTAACGCAGTGGCGTGGCGTGAACAATTGACTATCGATATTTCCCCATTTGAAGCTATAGTAAAGATTCGTTTATTCAGGTGTTCGTTTGTCTATCGATTCTTTTCCATAGGTTTAAATGGCAGATCAATCGATCTATCGCAAAACACGCCACGCCACTGGTTTAACGGTCATGAGAAAGGCAGGAAGAGGGAGAGAAAAGCCAGCAGGCACCCCGCTTATTCAACACTTAATAGTAATCTGTGTCGTACGTCCGAATCAGTCTTTTTCAACTGACGCTTATACTTTTTATGGTTAACTTTTTTCTCGGGAACATTTTTCCTTTCCGACTGCTTTTAAGGCAAGGCTGGCAAGGGATAAATTGAGGTAGTCCGTGAAGTTTTCCGCTGTTTCCAAATATCGTAAACTGCACCACAGCATGTTCGGACCTCAACTTTTAAGCTATGGACAAAAACGATGTGCGTAATGTAAAATTTGCAAAAGTATTATCCACGGATTTATTTTATGACTCGCCATTTTTTTCTGGGTTAATTGTTTTAAAAGGAAGCCTTCAATTTTGTTCAGTGCATCAATCCATTTCCTGTCCACAGCCCCATTGAAAAGCAAGAAGGAAAAGAAAGCGTCTGCCAACACTTAACACTCATCAAAAGTGATTAGATTTAAACCTTCTCGCTGATGTATGTGAAAATTACCGTGAATTCCAAGAATAGCTGCTCTTAATATAAACTTTAGATAGCCGCTTCAGACAGCATGGATTTTTCTATTCAAAAGGAAGCCCTTATCAGTCGTTGGTATTTTTTTTTTCAAGCGATTGCCGGATCTTTCACCTATAGTGTCAGAGTACGTGTGGAGAGCATTAAATAAGAAGAGGGTTTAGTCTGAGGGAATTTTTAAGGTTTATAAAATTAATGCATACCGTAAAAAGTATCATATTTTATTTTTTGCAAATATCCTTGAAACACTGTTGGAGTTTGCAGGGTTGCCACAGTCAGGAAAAACCGGAAAATGCCAGGGAATTTTAAAAAGTCTGGGAAAAGTACGAAAATGTCAGGGAAAAATTGTCAAGTCACCTTTATTTTCTTTCTAGAATGAGTTTTACGTTTCGAACAACAAATGGTGCCCGAAAACTATTTCAAATCATGTATCATGAAGCATCTGGCATATCTTCAATAGGCAGGGAATTTCACCAAAATGTGACAGAGAAATCAGGGGAATGCCAGGGAATCTCATTTTCTAAATTCTGTGGCAGTCTTCGATTTTATTAATTAAACTCTGTGCAAAGTCTTTATTTTACTTTTGTAAAACTCTCATGAACCCTCCGCTGAAAATACACGTAATAAATACTCAAGAGATCGTTCAAATATTACAGAAATGATAAACATTTTTTTCTTGTTCTCACTTTCGGTATAATTAATTATGGGGACACGTTTCGGCGCGTAGAGCTCCATCCTCGGCCGGCCCATGAGTAGAAAGTCTCTACTCGTGGGCCGGCCGGAAACTGCACCGATCGGTAAGAAGTTTCTACCCATGAGTAGAAACTTTCTCCTTACCGTGAGGAAATTTCTCCAAAATTTATTTTTCCAAAATCTTGCCAGAAGCGGTCAAGAGCCTTGACAGACATCAACACCGTTCCCCGAAATGAATGTCTATCCCTAGGTAGAAAGTTTCTAAAATTTCCTTACGATAAGGAGAACGTTTGCAATCCAAAGGTAGAAATTCGCCGGCCGAGAATGAGCTCTAGGCTCCGATAAACTTGTCCCCATGATTAATTTTACCGCAAGTGAGTGTACACGAAAACATTGTTCGGCATATTTTACTTGTGACCACGACCCCACCCCCCACCCCCCACAAAGATTCTTTATTACGTGAATCCTGTAAGTATGGAGGGTGTCTGAGCTTACGAGATCTCACAAGGAGAGGTCAACACTGAAAAAAAATATGGTAACATCTACTGCAAGTATACTTGATTTTTTACTCAGCGATACTATTTCCTGAAAATAACCACAATTTCAGTAGTATTTACTAGAACTTTGATTATACTGACCATAATTTGGTAAATACTACCATAGGGTCTGATTTTTATTAACATACTGTAGCAGAGCATAGTAATATCTACCATATTTTTCCTCAGTGAAGTCCAATCTTACGCAAAACTCCCGGTTAATGAAAAAAAAAAATTATTTGTTTGGCTTACTTTTTATTCTTCGGTCCTGATTTTTGTGTTTATAAGATGACAATAGTCATTTGTGTTTGTGTCGTTTTGTATTTATAAGATGATATAGTCATCTTATAAACACAAAAAATCAGGACCGAAGAATAAAAAGTAAGCCAAACAAATAAACGTATCCACCTGATGGACCCAGCCAACTTGAAACAAAAAAAAATAACATAAAAGCAATTTCCAGTTATTTACTAGCCTTTCTCCGTTATTTTTTGAAAAAAATTGGGGAGCCAGTCTTTCGTAATTGACAAGGGGAGGGATGAGAGAAGCTTTCTAAGCGGTGCTTTACAGGAATGAGGAAATAGAATTACGCAGTCCGAAAAGATCGTTTTTTCACGAGGAGCTCCTGAGTTTTCATTGGTATTTCAAAAAATAGACCTCGGTACTTCTCGTTGAATGAGCAATGAATGATCTATAAATAATTGAAAATATCATTTTACCGATCCGTTAGCATTCATTCCAAAAATTGCATAACATTGGAGTTACTGATGCAATTCCAAATTATCTGAATTTTTAATTTATTGTATATGAAGTTTCCAACTAAAATGATTTTAATCTATGGGGAATAGTATAACCTCGTTTAAAGAGCAACCAATTTTTCATCAGAATGAGTGTATTTATAACTCCTGGACAGCCTTCTGCAAAAGGAGGGGCTCAAAAGTCAGCCAAAATGTCTTTCTTATGAAACAGCCCCAAAATTTGCAACCAAAAAAGTACTCTCTCATTCAATATTTCTGTGCTGTCTTTCCTTCTTTCTCGAGTGGAACGTGAAGTTCTTTCAAACGTCATTAAACTTCTTGGCACGGTCAATGGCACTACTTCAGATTTTATTGACTTACATTCCACCCACTTCCGCCGTATGTATTATTTAGTTGTAAGCTTTGGCTTGAAGATCAATCAATTCACGACAATTTTGCCGTGCTAAGGAAAAACGCCGTATGAACATTCAGGCGTTGCCCAATTTCCTTTGATAAAACGCGAATTTCCTGGCAAACTTATTAAAATTTTCCTCCCAATTTTTCAGGCAATTTTACTCACAATTTCACCTAAAGATTGTAAAAATTGAAAGAAAAAATATTCATAACTTTCCTCAAAAATGAACATTTTATCGAAGCAAATTTGGCAACTCTCAAATGTTCATACGGCGTTCTGGCCGTTCTGCCTTTATCACGGCAGAATATTGCAAGTATTTTGCAAAATCAATGCGTCGAGCGAATTCTTGTTGTGTTAAGTGAGAGTGTTTCACAGTTACATGACGACAATGTAAATCGCAAAAGCACTCTCTCTTGGTTTGTGACGTTACTATTTTTTGTCGCAAACACCTGGATAATAAATAGGTAGAATTTTTGGGATCCCACTGCTGAAGTACGTGTTTCCGGAATGAAGAATTTGCACGAGAAAATATTATTATTCCATAACAAAGTGCTTTATGAGCTTAGCTCGCAGTATTATTTACAATGGAGAATTTGTAGGTATCTGAAATTCGATGGATTCCGTGTTTAAGTGGACGCTACCAAGTGAGCGGAACACGAGGATACCATTGGCTCATAAATTGAACAACTATTGGAGGAGATATGACAAAATGATCTAATCTGCTAAAATACATGCATTTAAATGGGAAATGCCGCCAAATAACGTCACTAAGCGGTGCATTTTTTCACTTTTAAATATTTTTGTACGATTACCCATTGCAGAAAAAAATTATAAAAAATACTGCAAAGTCAGCTCCTCAGGCACTTTCAGATAAAGCAATAAAAATTTTGCGTGCCAATTCTCCATTTGTTCTACTTCGGGAAAGCGGAAGAAAGTGGATTTAAACGTGGACATATTTATGCAAAACGGCACTATGTTACATGCAAACCCTATGCACATAGTTCCTTTTAGCATAAATACGTCCAACTGTGAAAATGTACCGCCTTATTGAAGGGCGGCATTTACCGTTGAAACAAAAGTATTTTAGTAATTTTTTGTTTAAATTAAATTTTTTCGAAAACTTTTTTGAAACCCGATTATATAGTTAGATGACTTACTTTCTTTTTACTCTTTACGCACAATGGCCATTTCGAGCGGGCATTATAGCAGATTTAATCGAGTATTTTAGCATATTTAATCGAGTATTTTAGCAGATTTAATCATTCTGTCATGATTTCTTCAGTAATCGTTCAGTTCAGAAACCCAGGATATGCTTGCGCTTATCTTACTTAGTGGTTCCTACTTATAAATGAAAGTCATCGAATTCCAGACAGCTGCGAATGTTCTTCCACAATTTTGCCGCAAACTTGCTTCAGTCTCGCAAAAACTGCGGGAAAATGAGTTTGCGGCAATCTTGCCGTAAGCTCGGGTGCTAGAGGCTGAGGAAACAGTTGAACTCGGGATTAAAAAAAACAATGAAATCAAACATTTAATCAAAACATGCCTATAACAGATTTATACAATTTGGTAAACTTAAAATCATAGCACTAAGACCTTACATAACTATTCAAGGGGTTGCACGACGTTTTACCTATAAGACCATTTGACCTACACTTTTTGGCAGAAGTCGTGTAGGTCAGAGGTATGTAGGGCGTACGTTGTCGGCCAAACGTGCTCTAGGTCAAATGTTTATACATAAAACGTCCTGATAACATTTAAAATACAGGAACTTGAGCCCTAAAAACCAGCCCTTCCCAGAGCTATTCGGTGGTAGACAGGTATCGATCGAAGTAATTGAAACGCAAGTATAATATGCATCGAACCACTTTACCCATAATTAGTCTAACAGCATTTTATGTTGCCGCATTTCTCTTCATATACTTTTTTTTTTCTACCTTAGCCTTAAAGCAAAATTCTTTGATATTTATCGCGAATTTCACCTAGATTGCAAAGAATTTCTATCTCAAAGTTTCAAGGCAGAACTTTGCTAAGGCTCCGTTCAAAAGATAAAATCAAAGAAAATACCAGGCAGCGTTTGATGCAGTTAGGGTGATCTTGTTTAAATCCATCCAGTCAGTTTTGGAGGAACATACCTACGTTTCACTCACCGTGGTACATTTTAGTAGAGTTGGTTCTAGTGGCGTGACATGTTTTGCGATATATCGATTGATCTTCCATTTAAACCCATAGAGAAATATCGATACAGAGGGTGTTCGCAACGAACACCTTAATAATTGATTCTTTACCTTAACTTCAAATGGGGAAATATCGATACTATTCGATCTTGCTTGCCACGCCATTGGTTGGTTTTTGCAGGTTGGCAACACTGTTTTTTCACTATTTCCCTCCATCTTCAAAAATGTATCGTCCTCAGAGACACTATATTTTATGAGACTCCACTTTGCTATCTTTCTTTCAATGCCAACAGTTAATTTTGGAATTCAACGCTCTAATGCGCCTCACGGTGAATTGATGATTCCTGACTAAATAGTTGAAAAATTAGTTTAAGAAATCTTACTTAATTTGCAAAAACTCGCCCTGCAAAAAGCTCACCTCGACATTCATCAGTTATTATTTGGCGAATTTTATGCTCAACAAGTTGCTCATCAAGTTGCTCACCAATCATCACTAATGGCGAACACCAGCCTTGGCTGCTGAACTTAACTTGGCTTGCACTTCGCAAAAGAGAACCAAGAGCATTCCAATGTTGCTAGAATTATGCAACTTACACTCTTTGCAATAAAATTACTGAAATCGTTGAAAAATTAAATTTACGAAGGAAATTATCGTATTGACTTAATATTTTTTTGGAAGTGAAGGTGAAACTTTGTTTGGATGACTAGTTTATATTTGCAAGGTGAGCACAGTTGCGCAATCTCAGCGACGTTGGAATGCTCCCGGTTCCTTTCTTAGAAGTACAATCCACTCAACCCTCTATGGCATATCGAAACAAATTCGCAACAACGTATATTTCGGATTTTTGAAAATTAAATATTTCCTCTGTGGCATAATTTCGCAAATTTCATTAGTTTTTCTTTTTTTGAAATCTGATTCCCAAAAATTCAAAATTTTGAAAAACAATGAGTACTCTGATTTGTATGCAAGTAGCTACAAAATAGATGATCGTCCCCCAGAATCTGAGATCCAAAATTGATTCATGCCATAGAGGTTTTAAGCCTCACCCGGTTGTATTCAGGGCTGCCACAGTTAGGGAAAACCGGGAAATGTCGGGGAATTTTAAGAAGTCAGGGAAAACCGGGAAATGTCAGAGAAAATGACGAAAATGTCAGGGAAAATGTGTTAAATCACCTTGATTTGCTTTCTAGAATGGGTTTGAGGTTTCGAACAACACCTTTTTCCTGAAAACTATTTTCAATTATGTTTTCTTAACCATCCGTCACATCTTCAATTGTCAGGGAATTTCGCCAGAATGTGTCAGGGAAATCAGGGAAATGTCTGGGAAATTCACTTTCTAAATTCTGCGGCAACCTTGTTGATTGTTAGTGAGGGATTTTCAAAATACAGTGTCTATAAATGTCTTACTTTGATTAATTTAAATGGGCGAAGTCCAGCACTGACAACTTTGAAAAATGGCCACTTTATTAAAGTGAGCGGCAAGTCCGGCGGCTATACTAGTGGTTGCGGATAGGAAGTAGAGTTGCTCGCAGCGAGGGTCTGACAAAGGGCGTCCAGGTCGAGGCGGTTGGCCAGGTCGTTGGTGACCTGCTCGGTGACGATTGTGGACAGCGCGTCTTGGAGAGATGCGGAGATCGTTTGCCTGATCTGGTTATAAGCCCCAAAGGCCAGCCGAATCAGGCCACCCACCAGACCTAAACCACGTAGATTCAGATCCACATCCACGCATAGCACATCAATCTGAAAAAAGGAGAGTAATGAGTTTCTAAAAATCGGTCAACATTACCAGGGTGTCTTCAAGTCCGAAATTTCCGAAACGTCCGGAAATAGTACTGATTTTTCAATGGCGGGCCGAAAGTACTGAAAAAGTGCGGAAATTCCGCAAGAATAAGGTCCGGAATTTTTTTCATTTTTTTTTTTTTTGTCATTTTTGTTGCAATTGAGCTAGAAGTTCAAAGTTTTGAAATTTTTCGAATTTTATCAATTGGAAGCATTGAAAAAGTACTGAATTTTTCTGTTGAGGAGGTACTGGATTTTTTGGGAATGTACGGGAAAAGTACTGTATAAGTACTGATTTTGGCCAGCCTGTTTCAGTAGACACCCTGATTACTCAACACTAAGTGAGGTAACTTTTTTGTCAAATTTTGAATACTCTTTTTTTTCGTAGAAAGTTTAGAACGGCACTGGTCGCAAGCATGTTTTCTATCAGGAGAGTTTAAACTCAGCGACAAATGTTTTGTGAGGAGCCATTACATGCCCTAAATACTTGCAACGTCTGAGACGAATCGGCAATATTTTTCCTTCGTGTTGCCTTGGAAAATAGAAAATGTTTAAATTCAAGGCAACTACAGCCGGTCAGAAAAGTTTGAAGTTCCAATTAAAAGAGCTATAGTGCAAAGCGGTTGCTGTCCGAGGTAACAGAGACGCAAGTAAGTCACTAACTTTCAATCTTGCATAGGAAAAAACTTTTTCGCATTTTCATGCGTTTTCGCGCGCCCATTCCATTGCTGCTTTTATCATTAATAATAAGACCAGGTTTTTTTTTTTTTTTTATTTATTTATTTTAGAGAATTTCAACATTACCATTACCTTAATCCAACCGAAGAACATTTTGGAGCTTTTAATTGATGCATTTAGCCTTATAACCTGCGGTTTTTTTTTTTTTTTTTTTTTTTTTTTTTTTTTTTGTGATTTACCTTTAAAGGAATTTTATCTTCTCTCTACAATACAACATCAATTAAACCTCATTGAAGCATTTTTTGACGTTTAAATATATCAAAAACCTCAAAAACATTCGGTATCAAATAACTTCATTCTGCTAATCGCGGACGCATAAATTGCCTTCAAATGTAGATGTATGCAATCTTACCAACGCTACAGATTTTTTTGTTGCATCATAAAAGAATGGCTCTCTCCTCGCGTAAACAGCACCAGCCCTTTCTTCGACTTTTCCTGACCTAATTGAAGCAATATATTGCAAATCGGTTGTGCCGTGCTAGAGAAAAACGCAGTTTGGACATTTAAGAGTCGCCAAATTTCCTCCAATAAAATGTTAATTTTTAACAAGACGAATGAATATTTTCTCTTGCGATTTTCCGATAATTTAAATTTTAGTTCGGATAAAATTCCCCCAAAAAATAAGAGGAAAAATATCTCCAGATTTCCCTGAAAATTTGAATTTGAGCAGCGGAAATTTCGTTACGTCCAGTGGCGTGGCGTATGAATTGTGATGTATCGATTGTCGTGCCATTTAAACCCATGGTAAAGAATTGATTATTAAGGTGTTGGCTGCAAACACCCTGTTTATCGATCCTTTTCCATAGGTTTAAATGGCATAACAATGATAAATCGCAAAGCACGCCACGCCACTGATCACGTCTGAATGCTCGTACGACGCTCTTCCTTAGCACGGCAGAGTCCGTGAGTCCGTGAGTCCGGGCCGGATTTACCTACTTGCCGCCCATGGGCCGCGGGGCGCCGCGGGGCCGCCTGTATTTTGCCGCCCCCCTCTCATTATTTGCTTTGAAACATCAATAAGAACCATCAAGTGAACGTGCCGAATTGGAGTGCTTAACACGCGTTTACTCGTGTTGGACACTTTTTTTGCGAAAGGCCTGTCAACTTTACTAGCAAAAGTTCACGGAACTTTGCGCGAAAATAAGTTCCGTAAACCTATCTCCGTGTGGACAAGGCCTTCCATTTTTAAGTATTGAACGAAAAAATTATGACAGAACAAACATAAATGTGGGTTAATAATTTTAAATTCCGCTGCCGCGCCAACCGCACCGTGTTTAGCGCAATGCGTGAAGTATTCCTACAGTCTTGTAGGCGCTATGCGTTTCACACCGACCACTGCTGACCGCATTGTATTTGACGCAATGCGTGAAGTATTCATGCAGTCTTGGAGGCGCTTATATGTGTTATACGCCAACCGCCGGCCGCCGCGCCGAGGGCTTCTCCTTCTCATCTCAAGTCCTCGTCATCATTGCTCTCTGCGCCGCGCCGCTTTATGCCAAATTCCGTGTTCGGTTTTTCTCTCAACTCGATTAATTAAAGGCGCTGTCTCTTTTAACACCGAAATACGACAAAATTAGTAAGAATTATACTCTCAGAAAATGAGAAAATGTGTCGCCTTTTCTCGTTTGTAATTTTTTTTCTGAATCCGATGGTTTTTTTTTTTTTATACTTACATTTAAAAAATGTCAAAATTTGCCGTCATGTGGCCACCCCCTAAATCCGGCCCCGGGCAGACCTATCGTCATCGAATGACTCTAATCGATAAATTCCTCTCTTACCAATGCAATTTATCGATTCAGTTCGATACTTTGATCGATAAATTCCTATCTTAGCGGTGCAGTTCATCGATTCAGGTCGATACTCGTACCAGGATTGATAAGTTCCTATCTCAACAATGCAAATGATCGATTCAAGCCGATACCTTGATCGAATTCCTACCTTTACAATGGAATTTATTGATTGATGAAGTTATTCGATTACCGTTCAAAATTGACCCGCAGGTCGAATCAACTCATCTTATCGGTGATTTCCGGCTTCATACGTGGTGTCTTGAACGGGAAAAACTGGGATTCATCAGGGAATGATAATTAAAGGGGAAAATCAGGGAATCTTTTCCAGGAACCGGGGATTTTTTTCTCTACCACTTGTCCCTGGTAAAAATTGGCGATATGAGCTGCGTTTCAAAATACCACAGGAGTTCTTATAGCCAACTAAAGAAGGCTATTGAAAATCATATAGCTGGCTGTAGAAAGCGGAGCAAATCATATAGCCAGGCTATACGAAGCTATAAAAAAGTATACAGTCGGGCTATACTTCCTATCGCCGGGCTTTACTTTTTACCGCCATTGGCTATAAAAGGCCATAAGAAATTGTGTAGAAATTCGCGTGCTTTGGAAATCATTAAGTTTGATACGGAACTACCTTAATATTTACAAAACACACATTATATTTTCCTTTAAAACATATTTTTTTTCATCAATTAAAATGAGATGGTCCATACAGAGTGTGCAAACATTTCAAAATAATGAATTGAAAAACGCTGACTTCGCGAGATTAAATATTAGAGCCTAACACACGGCGCCTACAAACCTAACAGGGATACTTCACGCATTGCGCAATGCGTGAAGTATCCCTGTTAGGTTTGTAGGCGCTAATGCGCGTTTCGCGCTCTCTGCCCGCCCGCCGCGCCGCAGCGTGCCACTGCGTCTGAAGCAACTATTTCACACCCGAGGTATTGCACAGTATCATAAGAAATTGAAGGCGCTCCAACATATTAAGAATGACAGGCATGCTTCAAAAGTACGGAGCTTTCCTCGCAAAATAAATCAGGATACTACGGCACAAAAAGAGATCGGTAGTACAAAAACTAACTAAGTCCTCGTATCCGTATTTAGTAACGTTTAGCATAAGCTTTATCGTCTGGCTATTGCTTAATCGCCATCGGCTATGAAAGGCTATAAGAAATTGTACAGCCGGCTACAGAAGCAATTGGAAATCTTACAGCCGGCTTTAGGTCCATAGTATTTTGGAGCACACATTCTACCGCCATTTTTTACCAGGAGTATAGGGATCATTTCGTTTTCAATGGCGGTCTAATTTGACAGACCGCTATTATTGACTTCTTGAATGGCACATTTGAAGCTTCAAATCATCAAAAGAATGGAGGAGCCTTCATTGACCAGATAATATAAACATCAGGAACTCTATCGGAAGTAAAATTTCGAAAGTGCACCAAAGAGATGGCTGAAGTATTAATTATTATCGATATTCATACATGAAACTCTGGAGAATTATATTCTTTTCCCCTAGAAAAGCCCGGAGAAGTGGGAGACAACTTCGGTTTCTCGTCAGGGAACGAGGTCCTAAAAATCAGGGGAAAATCAGGAAATGAGCCTTATGAAAAATTCTGGACACCATGGGTTCATACCTGGAGATCGAGCTGGCAGGAGGTGCTGTTGCCGGAGCTGTTGTTGCTGGAATTGCCGTTGGCGGTGAGGATGAGCTTGTAGGTGCTAGAGGTGAGTCCGGCCGTGACCGGCCCATTCTTCCGCAGGAGGCCCGCGCTTCCCAACGCGTCCTGGTACACCACATACGTGCTCGGAAGGGTCGTCGTCTGAGAAATCGAAACGGACTCTGAAACAAGCCCAATTTCTCAAACACTTACACAACTGAAAGTTAGAAGTTTCTTCACGTCTTCGAGATATCATAGTAGGTCCCCTCTCCTAGAGTCCCTTTATACCCAGAGTTAAGACAACTCGATTATCAGCTGACTGGCAGCCGGCCTTGGTTGGCCATGGAGGCCGAAACGAGTGCACCTTAACGAACGATATTGAGGGATAAGGATCAGGAATCCTGCGATGTCTGTCACACAAAAACAACAACATCAACAAATTGATTAATTAAAATGAGAATGAGATTGGATTGTGAATAATTTCTTAATCTATTTTCATTTTGGACCGATGGAAATAACTGAAATAACAATTTACTCTTGATAAACCACAATTAGGTAATATTTTCATTATTCTTGTTCACATTCGAGGTACCGCCATCTTGGTGCACTCGTTTCGGCCTCCATGAGCGAGAACCAATCA